TTTTATCTTGCAACATGATCAACATGGCAGCCTTATCGCAAGCATCCGCCTCACGAAAGAAGAAGGTTGCACGCCAAGGATGTATGGATAACCTGACGACGTTTGATAAATTATTCTGCATCGGACGTCGTTTCCGAGTTTTTTTTTTCTAAAAGAACGACGCTTTTCTTTTGGCCGTTCCGTTTTACGTCTGACCAACGCCAATCCCCCTAGATTTCTAATAATAACCTGAAAGATTGTCAGGACTATTACGTGTTCCCTGGTGAGACGAAAGCGTCGGTGGATTGAAAGATTATTCGAGAGCGCAAGCGCGCCGTACGCGCAAATAGCGAGCGGGTGCACGTCACGGAGATCTGTACGCTGTACTTGCACACGAAGACTCGTATTCGGACACTCGAGTACGCAAATGCGAATTATGTGGCAAATATACCAGTGCATTAATGTGCACCTGCAATTATTTATGTCCTTTCATGCATCTATAGTTCGTGCTTACTCGCGTGTTTCAGTTCGAGAAGGAAAAAACCGATCGTTCGAAGAAAAGAAGCCGCCAACTGCTAAATCAAACAACCGATCCGGAGCAGTTAAATACCGTTATCTCGGAATGTTTTAGTCAAGACCTTTCACCGATCGATTCTCTCTACATTTTTGTCTTACCACCTTCGAACAGAATGGTTTCGACGCGAAAAATCAAGTCTATCGAGTGAAAGAAATGACTGGCAAACGATGATTCACAGCAATGACGTATTGTCTGTGGTTTCCAGGTGAAATACAGATGCCGACATAACTGGGCTTGTTTTCGGCAGGAACCAAAATGGCGAGGACCTCGAGAAGTACCACAGGGAACCTTGTCGCTTCTCGACAATGGTCTAATTCCCAATCGTGGAAAGAATGGACGACCCTTTCCTATTTTACGAATACGTATTTCTAAATCCAAGCGAAACCGGGCAGGTATACACCTACCTGCTTATTATTGTACGCGTATTCGAGTCATAGATCGTTTTTCTTCAATAGTATTATTCATTTCAATAGATCTTTAAATTCATTGTTTCTTCTATGACGCTTATAAGAACCAAATATGGCTATACGACGCTTTTAACCGTCTCTTCGAGGTTTTTGTCACAAAATCGAATGGTGTTGGCGTCGATCGGCTTACTAGTTCGAGAACAAAACCCTGTATTTGTACATCAATTAGTATAGACCAGGGAATTCCAGGTTAAAACGACAGGTATTAGGTTGGACGGAAATTTTCGGCAGTTTCGCCACGCCCATTAAGCGCGCCTTCATAAAACCGTATCTTCATGCTTGATTTTTTCTCTTCTTTCGTTCGTTTGTTCTTCGATTAGCGATGTAAATTTGGAATCTCGCAGCAGGATACCTTCCCGAGGAGGAACGAGGTAAAAAACGGCGTTCGCCGAGTCGAAAGTTGGCGATGTCCAGTGAAATCTTCCGTATATGCGTGAAAGGTGATCGAAACTGAAAACTGCATCCTGGCTCACGGCATATGTGAAATCAACATCCGCTGTAAAAGTCCGTCAGTTTCCTGGATAATCTAGCGGGTTTCATCCGTCGATTGCCGAGTCGTTCCCTCGAGAAGACGATAGTGAACGCAGGATTTCCATCGCGAACGGGTTTACCGCGCATTTATTCGAGGAAGCGCGGAAATCCATCTCTGGCCACGGCCTCAAGTACCGATTTCCTTTGCCGTGGCGCAGTGTAATTGGTGGTTACGAGGCAGGAGAACGATCCGCAGAGGAGGAAGAAGACGAAGAAGAAGGAGGGCAAGGATCGGGGGTATCGAGCCAGGGGGTCGTTCCTGCATCCACGTAGAGGCGAAATAGGTGCAGGGAACGAAGAAGAGGAGAAAGAAGAAAGATAGAGCGTAAAGAGAGGGGTGGTGAAAAAAGGGTGAGGTATCGTGGCGCGAAATAGAGGGGAGCTAGTAACCAGGCTGGTAACACTGGCGATGGTCGTTGGGGTGAAGGGGGAGTAATCGTACTCGTCGGTGAGCTCGGCGTAGCGTGCTAGTGTCGTTACGTACCACTCGGTGGAGAGAGGAGGGGTGGCCAGAAGCGCGCATAGAGGAGTGGAGAGAAAAACGACTCGTACAGGCAAGGCAAGGCAAGGCAGGCTGGCAGGCAGGCAGGCAAGCAGGCAGGCAGACAGACAAGCAGGCAAGGCAAGGCAAGCAAGTCGGAGTAAGCAAAGCTGGCAGGCCAGGCAGGCTAGGCAGGCTAGTCAGGCGAACAGCCGAGTAGAGACACGATGCTCGAAGGGACAGAAGAGAGTGCCGGAACGAGGGAAAGAGACAAAGCGAGGAGAGAGAAGGGAACGGGGCGAAGAGAGGAGTAAAACGAAACGGCAGGCGTAGCGAGGAGCGTGTAAAGCCTGGAGGACAGGAGAGAAAGAGCGTGGAGGGGGTAAAGCTTGGGTGCCGGAAAGGGGTGCGCGGCAAAGGGATGCAGGGCAGTAGAAGGGAGGGGCAGGAGGGGAAAGGGCATATCCCACCAAGGGGTTTCGGTTTAGTTTGGCGTGAGACGCTGTGCCATTCGGTTCGAAGCGTATACGTTGCCGCGTTCGTAGCACGTTCGATGTCGTTCATTTCCGCGGTTTAGTTCGAGAAAACGCCGCGCCGTATTCCGCGGCGCCTTTTTACAGCTCCGTCGCACTCTCCTGACCGCCCGTGTGTATTTGTTCGTCGTCTCCTCGGCTTCGTTTCGTTTCCTTTCCTTTCCTTTTTTATTTGTCCCCTTCGTGAATCTGTCCAGCCTCTGGCATTCTTTCTATAAAGAGGCTGTGGGCGCTCGGTCGGCGGTATGGTGAAAGTAAAATCCCACGTCGGTGGAGCTTAAACTCGAATGCCAGGGAATCTGGTCGTACGTCGCGAAATCGCGTACACATCGGGCACGCGACGTCGCCGCCGTTGCCTGGACACCCCGCGCCACCACGTCGGCTTCTCCAAAGGGACCAACCACCATCTCTTCTCTGTGTTACCACGATTCGAACATTGTAGCGAGCTCCGTTTTTCTTTACGGTGTCGTTCGACCGCGAACGATACGACCTCGCTTTGTGTACCTACGGGACCAGTATGCTTCGCTACCATAGAGGATAGCGTTAGGCTACTCCGATATTCTCGTATGCGTGTTGGCCGCACGTACGGCTCTCATGCTCGCACGTAAGTACACGCACCTACACACTCTACCAGCTAATGTATCCGCGTTTGTGTGCACTTAGACCTACTCGCCGGTTGAATGTTGAATGTTGAATGCTGAGAAACAACAGCGAGAAAGAGAGAAAGAGAGAAAGAGACAGAGGGAGAGAGAGAAAGAGGGAGGGGAGAGAGCGCGCGCGCGCACGAGAGAGAGAAAGACAAGAGAAGAGAAGAAAGAGATAGAGAGGGCGGTTTCCTCCATCTTTTTCTCCCTCTCTTCTCTCTGTCCGTCTCGCACTCCCGTCTTTCTCGTTATTACTCGTTTACCCCTCTACTTACTCTCTATCCTCTCTCGCGGCTTTTCCCTCTTTCTTCGACTCGCACGCGTCTTGTTACTCGTACGGGTACTCGTGTATTTATGCGTTTTCTCATATCCGCGCTGCCTCGTCTTTCGTCCTCGACGAGATCGTGTACGAGTTCACGATACGCGCCACACGATGGGACAAACATCGGCACTGGCCGTGCCTTCGAACTCCGTAGGGATCGTGAGATCGTTTCTGCGAACCTGGCCGACTCGACGACGTTTCAGATCTGCCTATTGTCCGAAATCGGAGTAACGGTTTTCCATCGAAAAACTTTGATCGGCGACACGAGGAAACGCGTGTGTCTGTCTGCCGATTAATCAGCTGGCTCGCGAAAGCGGCGAAACAATGGGCGGGAAGTTGCTGGTAATGGATGAAATCAGGTTCGAAGACCTCTGGTCGTTGGCGTTTTCAACCGATTAATTACAAGTCGATGCTGACGAATTAGAGGAATCGATCGAGAAATATGCGATCGCCTGGTTAATCGCGTCCGATTTCTCACCGCGCCGCTGAAAAACGAGTAGCGAGCGAGTCGTCGAATGTCTCCAGACGAGAAAGAACATTCTTTTTCCCGTGGCAAACAGCCGCAAAGACTGGCCCCCGTCCGATCGAATGCCTTTTCTTTCGCGATCTCTTTGGACGGTCGCTAGGTTACTTCGAATCACGCTCTTCCGCCCGGTAGGGTCGTCGTCTCCCTACTCTCTTTTCTCAGGGTACGCGCGTATAAAAACGACGGCAGAGGGATCAGAGAGCAGCTGGGGGTCTAATCTGTAACTCACATAATGCGCGATAAGGCGGCTAAAGTTTCGCGAAAGAAAACACGTTCCATGCGTGTTTCCGTTGAAATAACGATCCCTTAATGAGACTGCTCGTTTTCCTTCCTTCAGTAAAGCCATTCTCGACGCCACCGTCTATTATATGAAACTTCGTGCAAAGAGAATGACGAAGGGACAATGTAGATATTTTAATTGAGGCCCCCTAAAAAACTCTGAAAGCTGAATCGAATCTGTTTCTCTGCTCGCTATCGCGAGCAACTTGCAACGACGTTTGAGAAATTCGCTTCTTACGGACTGGCTCGTTATAAATAGACGAAGTGCTAGGCATCGCAGAACCCGTGGTGTGTATACCTAACGCGTACCGATTCGGTGACCGAACGATTCCGCCAACTTCCAACAGTCTAGTCAAAGATAATACCCGTCGAGGATACGATCTTTGTTCTAGATGCATCGTCATCGTTACGATGGCTGGAAAAAGCTTGATGCTTTTCCGGTTCACAGACGACCAGTTCGATTGTTGCGAACAGGCCTTTACTTAGGCGCGTCCCTGCATTCGCGACACGTGCTGCACTCGTAGACAATCGTAGCACGAAAGCAAACTGCCCGAGCAAACGGTCGAACAAGACGCAGCAAGATATTCTATTTGAGAAAGTTTGCTAATAAACTGAAAAATTTCCGATAAAGATGGTTAACGCGTTGATCGTTCGCTCGCTCGAAGGATCGACGATTGTTATTCTAATACCTCGTGTTATACACATCCGTTTTCACATCCCGAGAACGGAATGACGAGCGACGTTAGGAATTGAACGTAATTCTTAACCACTCCTCCGTTTCATCGACGCGTATACGTATGTAGGTAACGCGAGTACACGCGGTCTCTATTTAGGAAGCGATGAAAAAGACGATCAAGAAGCACGGATAGCAGTGAATTTCTTGGCAACGATAACGATAGCATCGTGACGACTTATCGTGTCGGCTCCGCTACGAAATACCGCGATATTCGATCAATACGAGAGAACAGCTAGGTAGAGAGTATTCGTATTCGACGAGTACGTGGTGTACACTGTACACGCGTTTCATTCCCGTCTACACAAGCAACGAGGGCTGCTGTTGCGCCGATGTGTTTGGCGGTTTAACCGAACCAGCAGCCGAGCAGCAATGGAAAAACGGAAAGGACAATTCCTGAGCGGGGAGAGAACGAGGATAAAACGCACCCGTATACCTAGCCGGGTGGCTGGAACCCGGTGGAGGGGCAGAGAACGAGGCAACGGGATTCTAGCTACCTGAGAAACCTTCGGGAAAGTGGGCTAAACGCATCGTGACACGGACTTAACCGTCTCCTATGTCGTGCGATTCGTCTGCGAAACTTGCGAATTACGAACGAGACGATCGCTCGTTAAAGAAAAGGAAACGATCGCCAAATATGTAACACGTTATTTAACGCGTCAAGTGTGGGATTCTCCTTTTTCAAACTTTTCTATATCGCGACGCGGATCGAATACGTTTACGTACCGTAACGACTGTGCGAGCCACGTCTCGGTTTGTCTCGTGTAATTATGACATCGTGCCGTAACATCGCGGAAGATCGAAAGAATTTAATTAGATTGCGATGAGTTTACATTGTATACAATAGATTGTATAAAAGTTCACTGATGAGTTGTTACGGGACAAGTAGAGATCCCGTACGTTAGAAGTTGATCCGCGCCTACTTTGATAAACACGATGAAAAGGAGCAAAGATATGGTCCTTATTTGTAACGAAGGTTCGGTAAGAATAAAAGATTTAACCGTTTTCCATTGGTAGGCAGACGAGCTGAAGCACCGAAAATTCAATCTTTTGGAGCAGGGCACGTTCGTTCAATTAACGATAGAATTATTTAGCGTGCGAATATTCTCGTTTGTGTGCATGGAGATCGTTGTTGTTTTCCTTTCGAGTTGCGGTTTTCTGTCGGATTACATAGGAACATGTTTTATGATTACAGACACCGTCACGGGCAGTAGTTCGGTACAACAATAAGAAAAATGTCGGGAATGGGTAAAAGGACTTACCTCCGCGAGGTAAATCCCTATCTTATTTGTCCGTTGTGCAGAGGCTACCTCATAGACGCGACCACCGTTGTCGAGTGTTTGCACTCGTGTAAGTAAATTGAATCGTTGCTCCTGAATTACGCTCCACGGAATTTCTAATGATATGTTGTTCTAATTTTTCCCTTCAGTTTGCAGAAGTTGTATTTTAAAGCATCTCAACACGGAAGCCCACTGCCCTTCTTGCAAACATGTTCTCAACAAAGCGAAGCCAAACATCAAGTAAGTTTTACTCGATTCGAATCTTCGTTATTAGTCAACCCGTATCTATAAGATTGAAAATCTGGAGAAAGGAGCTAAAGCATTTAGACTTTCTGTCACTTTTGTACAGGCCAAACGGTGAGAGTTATCGAAAAAATTATTGCGCCATTGTTTTTAGTGGGTCAAAATCTCAAGGAAGGACCGGCATTTTTTTTTTTTTTTTTTTTTTTTTTCGTCACTTCCGGGCTGACCGGATATTTACCTAATTCACGATACACGATAGAATTTTGTTAAACGAACTTTGTTTTCAGGGCTGACAAAGCGTTACAAGATATCGTGTACAAATTGGTCCCCGGATTATACCACAAGGAGATGCGGAAAAGAAGAGAGTTTTATAAAAAGCATCCGGAGCACGGTAACTATACTAAAACTTGAAAATTTTATTGCGACAAGAACGCATTTATTTGACGAGTGAATTTTCCGTGCAGCGGACTTAGCGACTCCCGAACAGCGAGGAGAAGACGTAAGCGGAAGGTTAATCTTTGCTCCAGAAGATGCTGTTAGTTTAAGTTTAGAGTATCTACCACCCGGAGCCGATCCTCTGACCATTCTACTCAGCACCAGCGACGATACTAACAACTCCAACAACCAAAACAGCAATAGCAATAATAACAATAATAATAATAATAATAATAATAATAATAACAGTAATCATGGGACGAATACGAGTAGCAGGCGGTATCTTCAATGTCCGGCACTAGTGACTATCGCGCATCTGAAGAAATTCTTAGCCTTGAAATACAGTGTCGATATGACAAGATATGCCATCGAGATTTGTCATCGACGTGCTCCACTGCCCGAACACTGGACTCTTATGGACGTCGCGTATATTTACGCATGGAAAAGGGTATGATTTAATCGCCAAACATCTTAAATTTGTTTTTTCAATCTTCTGACGTTCGAATAATTGTTATTTCAGAATGCACCAATGCGATTCTTTTATCGAGTAGCGTTGGAGGAGCAGAGATTAGAGGCACCTCCACACGACAGACCTTCCACGCCTGGTTTGGGCGCGAGTTTACCTCCCGTTGACGCTACCCTCGTAACAAGGGACAATGCTAACATGGAAACTATGGATAATAACGTCGAGGCTAGACTAGGAAACAATCGAGACGATATTTCCAGTGAAAAAGTTCGGTCACCGAGCGAACAGCCACGCGTGAAAGTCGCCAAGGAGGCTGAACCGAAGAAGGAACAACCGTTGAGTAACGCAGTGACCTCGACGACCGTCACATCGACCACGGTTTCGATAGCAGCCTCGAAGACATTGTCTACGACCACGACGACCAACACAGTCGCGTCAACCGTATCGAACGAGACGAACAAACAGGTGAAAACACCGATCAAGATACTGAAGAACCCGGATGGTCGGTACGAGGTCCTGAGAAGTCCGCCCGGTAGCTGGAACTCGAAGGAACAGAACGCTACAAGCAACTCCAGTCCAGAGTTTAGTGTCGTTAGCATAGGAAATGGGCAAAACTCGAACGGAGTGAAAATAACGTTGAAACAGTGTACACCAAATAATACCAGTCCGAACAAGCCGAAAGTTATCAGCAACGTGTTGCTACATTGTGGTCAGGTGGAGAAGGATCCGTCTGGTTCGTTGGTCATTCAACAGTTACAGAGAGACAAGGATAAACAACAGGCAGAGAAACAAGAGAAGCAAAGACGCAGAGTTACTTTTGTGGAAAGATCAACTCCCGAGAAAACCACGACCAACAACGTGTTGAAGACCATACAGAAAAAGCCGGCAGAGCAACAGGAGAAGAAAAGATTCCTTCAGAGTTTCCAGTTGACTGCCAGAGAACCGGGATCGGATACAACACTGGAGTCTAGCTTCGAGTCGAATAAAGTGAACGTTGTTAACGAAATTAACGAGGCTTACAATAAAGGGAACGTTACTCCGAAAAAGGAGCAGGATAAAGTTGCAACCGAGTCATCGGGTAGCACGGACAATGCGAAGAGCAAAAACAATAGCGAAAACAACAGTGTAAATTCGACGAGTGTGAGCAAACGTGTAGCAACGATAAGCGGTCTCGGCAATACGCGAGTGAACGCGAATAAACAGTGCAGTGACGTGGATACGTGTGTATTGAGTTATACGAAAAGCATCAACGCGAATAACAGCTCTACAAAAGTGGACGTGTACACGTTCTCCAACGACCCTCCCATAGTTCCAGCAGGAGCGGTAAAGAGGAAATGCCCGCCTGGATTGCCTATCTGCGACGTTAAACGAAAGAGACAGCATCAGGTTCAAACTCAAAGCGCGAAGAAACAGACTACTACTGCTCCTCCATCACCTTCTGTACAGACTACTCCAAAATCGCATCGGAAACTTGCCAACGAACAGCACGTTATACCTGCGAAAAGAGCGGCGAACATGATTGGAGAAGCTGGTCCTAGTCGAACACCCGTGTCTCAAAGTTCGAAATCTTCCTCTAGCCCTGTACTCTCGAATGACACGAGAAACATACTGGACGGCTGCGGGCTCAACATTCCCGCCAGTCTGAGTATCACTCTCACAGCACCCAAGTCTCCAGGTAACAGCGGAGGTAGTTTCCCTGAAGCGAACGACTCGAAAGATAACCGCAAGAACACACTGGGGAAAGTCAGTCCTAGCATTACTTTGAACGACAGGTCCGTGGATCCACGTGTACTGAAAGCGTTGAAAGCTGGACAAATCAGAATGCCTGCCCCGCCAAAACCGAGACAGACTAAATCGGAACGCGAAGGAGGTCAGCAACGACAAGCAACTCCTTCGAAACGAAAAAGAGAGCAAGATTCGAGGGATATATTGGATCTTAGCGGAGGAAAGAAAGTGGATATGCATCCGTTGAGAATACCTCAACCAGTAACGAAACTGAAGGCAAAATCAACGATCAGAGACAGCATGCCAAGTATTTCGGATCAAGGGCAAGTTGTGACGTTAATGGGTGGTCACAGGTACTATCGAGCACCGCCTGGTTCTTTAACTCCAGCGGCGCATCGAGTGAGCGATTGTCCTCTACCTACGCCATCCCGTACACCGGTCTACGCACCTGGACTTTCTAGTCCTCTAAGTAGCAGCAGATCGAACACCAATCTCTCCTCTGTTTTCCCCAGTCTGCAGAGTCTTTACGCTCTGAGCCAAGCACCGAATCTCCAACAGTTTCAAATGGACGCGAGACTGAGACTACCTCGACCAGCAGATTCTTCCAACACCGATAATCGAAGCGTAAATAGCAACGTAACCAGCAAAAGTCATCTAGCTGCTCAATGTGCGCCAGTTAAACCTGCCAGATCATCTATAGCACCTCTTGCTGTTCCTATTACCAAACAGCAACAGCAACAGCAACAGCAACAGCAACAACAACAACCACAGACAAACGAGAAATCCTCGTCTACCAGTTGTCTAACCAGGCCAGTCACCAGCGATGCGAATAAAACAGCCACGTTTCACAACAACGAACCCCTCGATTCCACCGAGTCCGCGCAACAATTATTGTCCGTCCAAACCAAGTACTCACCGGTTACGGAAAGCGACAATCGATTTTCGCCTCAAAGTTCCAACAACAGCACCGCGATCCTCGAGAACAAAACGTCTACCGATGAAAGCCACGATTCCAACTCGGAGACGAGTAACGATGCTAGAAAGGAACCGGATAATTCGTCGCGACAGACACCTAATCGCGAAGCAGCCAGCCCTAGGGTATCCTCCACGGCCTCTCCATCTCCACCGCCTGCAGACAACAACGCGAACACGACCAACAGCGAAAACTCTAATAATCGTAAGGACAATACGAGCACAGCCTCGAACGGCATCGACAACGATCTACCCGCACCCAGTCCAACGAAAAATATGGCTGCTGAGGTATCGAGCAGCAAATCACCAGCTAGCCCGGATTCTAGCTCGGTAACCATCGAAAGTCCTTCCAGCAAGAGCTGTGCCACGGTGGAACAAGCATTTCCTTCTCCATCTGCCGCGTCAGAAGCGGCAAAGACTTTGGAACACTCGACGAAAGCCGACAACAACGTCGTCGTCGTCGTCGAAGACTCGACGAATGAGAACGAGAACGAGAACGAGAACGAGAACGAGAATGAGAATGAGAACGAGAACGAAAACGAGAACGAGAACGAGAACGAGAACGAGAAGAAGGCTTCCTTCAAGCATATAGACGCGAAACAATTGACCTCGGAAATGTTTCAAAAACGATTGTTGGCTGCGTTCCCTTCCAACGAGTGGGCTAACAATCCGGTAGCCGCCGAACATCTTGGGAATTTTTTAAAAAGTTTAAACGCGTCTATCAAATCGGACACTAACAAGTTGGATAGCTTGAAATCGGAGAAGATCGAAAGTGGCCAACTAGCGTGCAACGAACCGACTCGTTTGAATAACGAAGCTTCGTCAAAGCCGCGGACGGACGTCGTCGAATAATTTACCATCGTAAATTATAAATAAGATAGCTACATCACTGCCAGATACTAACTGTAACGTTATCGAATGACTTTTAGCGTGAATGTATGACCGATTTGTGTAACTATCTGAAAAGATTTTCTAATAGAAGGCGGCCGTACGCGCGTCGTACGATACAGGGAAAATAAAACACAGCACGGACACGCTGGTGACATTATTTTTTCAAATTTTTTAAGAACACGCATATTTCATGAACTTTCATCCGTACGTTGTTGCTTACTCGATAATTAGCAACGATTCTACGAGTAGTCGCTCGATTTTTACAAGGGATCATGAAATTTTTCTTTCCGTACGAACGAACGATACAAAGAGTGTTACGGGAACCATTGGGTTCATGATTTCCATTTGCGTGAAAGAAATAGATAATCGTTCCTACCTCGGTCCACGTTAGAAATACGAAAAAGTACCTCGCATCGTGTTCGAATCTGATACCGTGATTTATTTGGACAAATTATTTATACTTAAATAGTATAATGAAGCACAACGAAAATTTATTTTAGACGATACGAATTTGCTTTCCTATTCGCTCTACAGGTAACAGAGTATGATACGTGTACGTAACGAAAAACATAGGGACCGAAAAGTTGAGAGAGAAAGAAAATTAGAAATACAATTAATCGTATTATGTATGAGCGATATATATATATACATACATGGTATAATGTTAGGTATTTTTATTTACTTTGCGTTACGTTTCACTATTAGTTACTACTATGTATACGTTGTATGATAATTGTTACGTTATGCGACTGTATTATATACAACTGTATTATTTCTTTATCTGTATATATTTATAATTATACTAGTGCGTCGTTTTTTTGCGGGATGTACGCAAAATCCTATTACTTTTTAAGCTCAAAATCATTCAATTCGAATCGATCAAAGTTCGTGTAAAATTAATTGAAACCAAAATTTTTCGAATATAGCTGTATGAATGTTAATTTTCAACAACAACAACCTGACATGTAATAACGAAAGAAAATATCATTATATACTTAAACATGAAATTGTTATAATTCTTTATATTTATTCCATATCGAAAATATTTCGCGCACATTCGAACGTTTGAAATGAGGCAGCCATTTATTTCTGTAATGGCGGCGTATTGCAAGGACACGCCGTTTCGAATTGAATTTTTGCATGATTCGTAATAAGTGTAAAGATAACACTTACCAATTTGCTGTGGATTTGAGTTCGTCAGCAGTAGCAGGAAGATTAATGTCTCTGTAACAGAAAATAATAGAGTAATATTAGAAAAAAATGATTTTTTGTAAGTTTCGAAGCATCAACGCTTGAACGTGCGTCACGATTTTGGATTATGGATGAAAAAAGTTTGTTTCCGGGACATAAGATGTAAAAAATACAATACCTTGAATGTTAAGCAACGTATCTTCCTATCTTGAATTATATGTCACCACTTTGCACTACTTTTAAAACACTTTTTCACTAAATATTTGAAACTTTCGGAGAAAGCAACTTCGCGCTACGGCGTTCCGCAAACCACTGAGTAATGTCTCCTCCCGGAAGTAATGGCTGATCAGACGAATGCATGAACCATTTTCATAATAGTGTATATATTATTTTTCGTAAAAACTTAATACATTAATAATCATATAAGAAGAAAAACATGTTTGTAACTAAATAAAATATTTATTCTTTTTAATACCATAATGATATTAATAAAAATAAAAGATGGTGAAACATCCGGTTTTTAAAGCAGACCGTAGCGCCATTCGAAGGAGGGAATTTTTCGAGAATTATGTTTCTCTAGTCTAATAAGGCCCGTATGTGTAACTTTAAGGTTATATATTTTCGGAGGTATGGTATTCCAGAAAATGAAAGGTTAACCTTTTGTGTGATAAGTGTTTAAATGAGTAAAAGTTTTAAGTTTGTTTAACCGTTGCAAGATAAAATGAGTAATACGAAAGAAAATTCTACAGCTCCAGCAAAAAATACACCTATAGGAAATACGAAACCTTACGGAAAGATCGTATTAACGTTGCAAAATTGTCTTTTACCTGAAGAAAAGCTTAATTCGACGCCGTCTCATTTAGACGGTTTGGATGCTGAAACCGAAACTGATCTAAGGATATTAGGATGCGAACTTATACAAACAGCTGGCATTTTGCTGAAACTACCGCAGGTTTGTGATCTCAATTGAAAGTAAACAAAATGTTTGTAAACGCTATAACCTCTATAACCTCTAACCCAATAATCATTATTTCTTTTATTGCTTTAAATAGGTTGCAATGGCTACAGGACAAGTAATATTTCAACGATTTTATTACAGTAAATCCTTAGTTAGACATAATATGGAAACAACTGCAATGGGTTGTGTTTGTTTAGCTAGTAAAATTGAAGAGGCACCTAGACGTATCAGGGATGTTATTAATGTATTTAATCATATAAAACAAGTCTCCAGTCAAAAGTAAATATAACTTTGTTTTTAATGTTATTATCTATTGTATTGTATACATATAAGAAATTTATATTTTTTTATCAATTATTTATTTCAGACCGATACAACCAGTGATCCTTGATCAAAATTATGTAGCTTTAAAGAATCAAGTGATTAAATCTGAGAGAAGAGTATTGAAGGAATTAGGCTTTTGTGTTCATGTAAAACATCCTCACAAAATTATTGTTATGTATTTACAAGTATTAGGATATGAGAAAAATCATGCTCTAATGCAACAGTGCTGGAATTATATGAATGATTCCTTAAGATCTGATGTATTCTTAAGACATCAGCCTGAAACAGTCGCCTGTGCATGCGTATATTTGGGAGCAAGACAACTTCAACTACCTTTGCCTACTTCACCTGCTTGGTTTTCCCTTTTTAAAGTTAACGAAGCGTCAATTAGAGATGTTTGTCGTCGTATATTACGACTATATTTTCGACCTCGTGTTAAACCAGAACAGTTAGAGAAACGCGTAGAAGAACTTCGTCGTCAATACGAAGAAGCTAGAACGAAAGCAAGAGGGGGTGATGTTGATAGTCACACGCCAAGTCCACCACTGCCTAAACATCATAATGCGTGGGGCGGATTTATTAGCCGTAGCGGTACACACGCGGCACCCGAACGTACAAAGTCTCCTAGGTAGAGTATCGCTGAGACACCGTAGAAAATTTTATTTCATTAATCTATCATTTATCATTTGATATATTTAATATGCAGAACCTTTATGTTTATGCAGGCGCTCAAAGTCCCCAAGTACTTCACCATCTAGGGGTGAAGGAACAAAACATTCCAAGAGAAAGAAACATAGTAGAAGCAGATCTCGCAGTCATAGTCATGGACGTTCTCGGAAACCGAAGAAGGCTCAACGAAGGCGATCTGGCAGCCATAAATCCTCCCGTAGTCGTTATAGATCGCGTAGTCGATCTCGGGATAGAGATGTAGAAAAATCAAGTAAACATCGCAGCAAACACAGACGGCATTGAGCTGTTCAATGTATAAAATATTGTTTAAACCATTACGAGTGACACTGCAATCACGTTAGCAGTTGGATCCATTTTATATAATATAATATGGGGCCTTTTTTTACCTCTGTTAATTAATATGCAACTTGAACAGGACAATTCATTTCTACTGTATGATACATATCTTGAGTTATAATAATTTAAAAATGATAACAGTAGATTTAAAAGAAATTATTTCTAAAAACATTAAGTCGAAAGTACCTCAAGAAAAGCGGTACATTACCGAAAGAAAAATATTACAAATAACGATACTTAAGAAGGCGTGTATTTAATACAAATACAACTTGAAAATAAAGTTTTATATTCATGTACTACTGTGTATCATTTTACGAAAACCAACAGGTGCAGCTTTTTTCCTTTCGTCTGAAAGTACTGGCGAAAAGTCTATTGTTGTCAATTGTGGAAGAATATGAACGATATATCCCCTATAATCCAGAAGATGTTGAATAGGATTTCCATGCAATGTTAAAGATTTAAGGTTGTGTAAACCTTTCAGTTTCACAACATCATTGATATCCGAAATATTGTTTCCATGTAAATAGAATATTTTCAAATTCGGGAAATGCACGATATCATCACCGATACTGCTTATTTCATTATAGGAAAGATCAAGCCAGCTAAGGTGTGCAGGTTCATCGAGAAGTTTGCGCACAAGGTTTTCGAATCCCTCCATTGAAATTAATAAATTATTGCTTAACCATAATGAACATGTTATAAAACGATCTGCAGATGTTCGTAATGGAACTTTACCCGTCCGTACCGCTTGTGGCCGTTTACCTGCTAATTCTCTTGTAATAATATGAAAATTAATTGTATACATAATTGTAGTAATACATGCAATTTTATAATAATCTCATACCGTCTAACATACCATTCATTGTGGTTGCTTTTTTAAATGACAAGTCCAATGGAACAGCTATCAACATTTCTTGTTGTTCGTTTCGTCTGTAATCAGAAAGTACATCCTTGTTAGGAATGGTATCCATTTTAATTTATTGAATATTGTTTAATAAAATTCTCAAGCAAATTTAAAAGTCACATGTCAGTTCTGAATATTATTATCAAAATTTTTCGTTTTCATGTAACTATCGCCATATAGATAGTCACTTATCAAATAATAATGTTGTTGTATGTATGTATGTATGTATATTCTTAATTGCGCATACTTATTTTCAAAAAGTTATCGCCGCTTTCAATTTAAACTAAACACATTTTTTCAATATATTTCTGAACACTCGAAATGTAATACAGATAAACGACGCTAGAGCGGTTACTTCAAGAACTTACAGTTCTGTCATTTGTGTGATCAGTGGCATTAAATTATAAACATTTAACGGCGGTAACTGGAATCCACCAAAACATTGAATTGATATAAGTCAAGATTTTGTAAATAACCAAATCTACAGAATTCATTTAGACGATAAATAACTCGTGCGATACGAGGAAGAAGTAATTAGATTAGATTCCTTTGTATCTATTGAAAATGCCACGGACGAAAAATGTTCGGAAACCAGAACAGGAACGGGAACGGAATCTTACAAAAGAAAGTAATTTATTAATGAGAGATTTTGAGCGTCAGGCACATTTACGAATTTTAAAGCAGGAAGGAGAAGGAAAAATGTCAATAAAAAGTTATATAAATTTTATTGATGTTACTCTTTCCCGACTTCCGTCGGAGATACGGGAGATGACTCTCGGTGAAATACTCAACTGTGAAGTTGATAATGAAGAAAAAGAAAATTGCAACGAAGTTTCGTCGTCAGTCGATGACTATTCATTAGCATCAGTTCCAACGAAAGTAAAAGGGAAGAAAAATAGAATTACTGCGTCTGACGATGGATACGTAACCGAGGGTGTCGCCACAACACGCTTGTCAAGAGCTCCAAAAATTACAGAACCTATCCCTGCTAGTAAAACACATAGCAGTTCAAGAAATAGTAGGGCTAAGCTTAGTCAAGCTAGCCAAGAGTGTAAGACTGTAAAAAAGATAAGTAAACAAGAAAGGAATAAAGAATCAATAAAATCTAATAAATTTATAACACCTGCAACTCTAAAACCTGGAAATCATGAATTTGGTCTTATAACGCCAAAAATTAAACCTAATACACCATTGAACGTATTAAGACGTCCACGACAAGGGGAAATGGTTCTTAGCATGCAAGGTAGTCCATTATTAGTTTCTTCAATTGTTCGGGAAAATACAGCCAATATTAATGTACCTTTGGCTAATGGTAATGTTATATCTTTATTACCTAATGATGGTTTACGTATGTCACATATTCCTCAATTAGATCCAGAAACTATGAGACAATTAGAAACTCTAAAGAATCATATTGAGACAGTTATCTCTGCAAATTAAGTATATGTGTATTTTGGTCATTTTGGTTACAACTTTATTATAAGTAACACCTTTTAAATAAACCAAATTACATCAAGTTTAATATATTCAAATAGCATTTACCATTATTTTTTATACCTTCACATGTATAAGATTTTAGAATAATAAGGAACAAGTATTATTTTTTTAGAAGTTAATACTTAAAAATAAAATAATATAGTGATATACATGTATGCTTTCACACAATTATAATAAAGACTTGACTATATCCAATATCTTATAGAATTATATCTGTTGTATACTACAGATGAAATTAGAAAATTAAGTATGACAGATTCTCCTATACATTTATTATATAATTGTACTGTACATTTTTTCAATAAAATAATAATAATTCAGAAAACACTGTTATACTTTTCAAAACAGTAAATGTATCGCATTCGATAGGCGGTAAATCCGAAGCGCCTAAGTTGCATGTATATATACATATATGCTAATCGTAAGCGTACATGCGCATACAAGTATATCTATCTGTCAAACGAACGATATTATTTGCATTTTTAGACTTTGTATAGCAATAGTGTGTCTAGATCGCATAAAATCATGTATGAAATATCCTAGTGTCTTTTCTGATAAGTATAAACTAATGTAGTTATCCTATAGTTTATCGTAATTTGTCATTTTCTATATTATTCGCTGTACAACAGCACTATTAAATGTGTACAAAGTGAATTAAGAATGGCTAAATATACACTGCTGAGTTTGTTAATACAAATTTCCAAGCGATTTACAATGGACTTTTCTTAAGTTTATCTCAAATGACATTAAGTTCGTGTTCTTTTATGGTCGAACCTATATATACCTCGCTGCAATTGAAAGGTTCCAAAGAAAAACAACGAATGTATCGTTTCATATTCCTTCACAAATAGCTGATAGTATTATAATTATATATTATAAAATGTAAGCTAACCTTCAAAGAACAACCTTATATATACTTCTAAATATTATTTAATTTAAACTATGTATAAAAATTTGTGTTCATTTTGATTATAGAAACATACATAGTAATTTCCTTCTAAATATAAGATAGATATGTTTGAGAAGCTGTTGTAGTATCAAATTCAACATGGTACGTGTAATCACAGTTCATAACTTTTTGGGACAAAACATTACTCAAATCGAGGAGCCAACTGCAAGTTGCATAGCAAATGCATCTGGACGTGAAATGCTTCTTTTAGCACTTTCAACGCATTGCGTAGAAGTGTGGGAATTGATGGTCTCTGATATTAAGCTGCATACTGTTTTTCCAACAGTTGATACGATTAATCAAATGGTACATTGTACCAAAGGAGATTATGTTGTAACATTAGAATCAAAAGTGATCAGAGATGCAAGCATTAATAATCATATTGGAAAGGCAACTAATAACTTTGTGAGAATTTATGTTAATTGGGCTGTAGTAAAAGATCAAAGTCAACCTATGCGTGCTAGAATAGCAGGACGTGTTACTCCAAGTTTGAATCGACCATTAAATAGTTTAGAGATGATAGAACTGCCATTGAGTGTACAGCCCACATTAATTGCCTGCTGTCAGAGTACTGGTAATCTTCTAGTAGCTTCAGGAAATAGTGCCATTCTACATGAATTCAAAATTGAAACACAGCAAGTATCAAAGATGAAATTTATAGATTTTGAAGCCAGACCATGGTCTTTAGGATTCTCATTTTCCCCCACTCATATGGAAATTGTTGAAGATTTTATATCAGTTACGGATAAATCAAATTTATGCGTTTTTCGATTGACCAATTCCATGTACGAAGACATTGATCAATTGAGTTCTTTAACTTCTACAAATTCTTCATCCATTGATAAAACTTCTATATCTACCGATTCCTCGCTCGTGGAAAATAGCAATAATATGGGAAATCAAGATGACAGTACAATACTGCAAGCAACAAATTCAAAAGGTAAAATATCTGTCCAAGATCTTTACTGTACTGTATCAGAAAACAATGATTCATTGGGAGCAACTACAAAATCCAAAAGCAAGAGGCATAAGAATTCTAAAGCAAATATATGGAACAAATTGGAAACAGGAGACTTGAAAAAAATAAAATCTAATAATAATGAAAGTATCATAGATTTGGATCATCTAATGTACAATGAAAAAGATGAGTTGCAAAGATTAATTGATCAAGAAATTATAGATGGGAGTTCACAACCACTGACTATCAATTTACCATCTATAAGTCTGGAAAGAGCAGGACCTGGACATACTTTGAGCCCTTTTATATTAAATCCATCAGATATAAAGATCATAATCAAAACGAATTCTCCTGATTTAGGATGGTCAGAAAATTATATGATAAAGAACTTGTTGTCTCTTAAAATAATGGCAGCTAACAATAACTCTAAATTTGATGGAAATTGTGAACTGTTCAGTTGTTCTTTGCTAAAACCATTGTACATGAAAAAAGAGTGCAATAATTCTTGCGTAAAAAAATCGATTCTCAGATCAGACAAGTACACGCATTTGCAGGGTGTAAGTTGTTTATTATGTACACTTCAAGAAGGATATCTTTATCACTTCTCTGCAACTAGTTCAAATCCTACAGATGCAACTTGCTTAACTACATATCCATTTACTGCACCTGTTAATCATATTGCACTGGAACACACTGCTTTACATGCATTAACCGAAGCTGGTCTCGAATCTTACACATTACGTATATCCCATCATATCGCAAGAACATTGAATAACATCGATAATATAAAAATAACATGCCCTAGTGTCTCTGAGCCTGTTTGTTTGATCGGTTTACGTCCGTTCCTAGGGATACAACAATTACTACATAGCAAAAACTACTTGATTCTCTTAGCCAGAGCTGACAATTCTTGGACTTTATACTCTCTAATTTTACCCAAGCTGGAAAACTTATATTACGATATTTTAAATGTAGCAAGAAGTCACAAATCTTCCAGTCCAAGCACCTACAGACATCTATTAGGCGAGGCTCATGCTTTAATACGTTTAGCAAAAGATGCTGCATATAATTGCTCAGACATTAACGAATTCGATGATAGCGTTAATAAAAATGGACTGAAATTGAGGAATTTATATAATCAATCGTGTGCCCTACTTGGAGATTATTATATTCGTTCCGAGTACGAGTCGGATTGGGATCTTTGCATACCTTATTACAAAATGTCGGGACTAAAACCTACAGAAGTGTTGTCCAGAAAGTCGAGTCAAGATGCACCGGGTCTTGTTACATTTCTAACGGATGTCCTTCTAACGATGAAAAGTGGCTCAGAAGCTGATGCTTTATTCCAAGGATATAATATTGTAGAAATCATTTGTAAATTGAAGAAACTAGACCTGCTTAAATTGATCTTCAGTAGTCCTGTATTACGGGAATATACTACAGAGAAGCTGATACATATTTTACTGTTGTACGAAACAGACGAGTTAATCAAGTTAGCTTTGGCATTGTTGCATATACAAGCTGAGAAACAAGAACAAGCAGAAAAAATACTCGAACCAGTTTCGGCGCTATGTATTAAAAGAATAGTCGTAGAACATTGGGACATATTATTTGATATGACTGCGATGAAGAAGAGAAGCCCGATGATTCCAACGTTCTCCGACTTTGCGGGGATGTTGATGCGTCAGAAGAATTCAACTTTCGCTGAAATTTTAATACAGATAATAGAAGATGATGGAATTTTATCTCTTCATCAAATTATACAGGTGTTTTTAGAATATTTACCGTCAAGGGTTGGAAGAGATGGACACAATGCGGCCATGACCTTACAAGTTTTCCTCGAGAGATATCTTCATAATTATTTCAGTACAAAGTTAATCACCGACTCGTCTGTTATAAGTAAAAATCAAATACGCACGGATTTCGCTTTGATAGAATCGTTTAAGTTATTAGTAAGATCGTACTTAGGCAAATTAACTCAAACCAAAGTGTACAAATTAGAAAGTAAAGATAATAACGTACAGGAAAGCTATGATAATTTCATGTTCGCAAAATTCAGACCTCATTATCTGAACGGAATGCCACCGTATGCGACTGATTATCAAAAGGTGTTGAACATGTGTGATCTAAAGGATTTCATTAATATCGATAAGACTGACACTGAGAAAACTGTACCCACGGAATTGTTTAAGTTGCAGTCTATATTATCCTGCGATTTTATACCAAATGAATGCTTATACGAAGTCAAGCAGTTCCTCGAAACACAAGAAATTGATGGTAGCTTATCTTTGAAAACATTGTGTATTAAAAATACGGAAGAAGTAACAGCTCTTCTAATGGAGAAATGTCCTCAAGCAGTTGTACAATATGCAAAGGTCTCTTATATCTCATATACATACTTAGCTGTATTTAGTTTATGCTATCTTCTAATATATTTATAAGATTCAATTTTACCAGATTATTTATCTATTTTAGGATATGTATACCAAAGACACCGAATGGAAATATTTAATCGAATTAACGCAGAATAAAATTTCTGCATCGGTCACGCGGCAAGAGTTGAATTGTTTGTATACACAAATAATGAAAGGTAAATAGGAGTTTTTTTTATTCTAAATAAGAAGAATGGGAAACATAGTTAAATGTAGTAAATTATGTTATCTTTTAACGTTTCAGCAATTCTAAATTATTTGCCACATACATTATCTTTAAAAAGTCTTCATCGTGTTTTGCCGAAAGATGATGTAATAGCATTTCAGAAATGCAGTGAAATGTGTAATCAAATTATGCATGCGGAACATGTTAAATCTTTGATAATGGAAACTGGACAGCAACTGTTATCAACTTTAAAATTGTGAATAGCAATTTCAGCGAATTAATTATATATCGCCGTTTGACGATGACATAGGTCCAATTTACATACTTCAGTTGGGAAAGGAAACCGTATGACTCAAGTGCAACAGAAAGTTTTGTTGCATATAAATTATGTAGGAGAATTAGAATTGAAACAAATAATATTTAGTCGAATTTGTTGAGAACAATAATTCTACATGTGATACGATTTTCGCGAAGTCTTAATTAATCCGCTTAAAGTTACTTGACATTGAATACAACTACTGAACCCAATTCTATAAAATAGAGCGATTTCTTCTTGCAGAATATACTTCAATTCCTGGATAACTTTTTCATCAATTTTACTTTCGTGATCAACTTTTTTTAAATAATTACTGTCAAATGCACAATTACCGCGATACATCTTGGCTATTTTATTTAGATCCAATTAATTAAAGCACATAAATTATATCAAAAAATGTCAAAATTTTAAGACAAATACTATAGATAAAATTAATTCACCTATAACTGATTGTTGAAATGTTCTATATAGATATATATTGTATTATGTCTAGACGTATGTTATCTTACCCTTAACCGATGAACTAGTTGAATCATAGTTAATAAAAATTTATACAGAATCGAGCATATACAGATAGATATTCAAATTTTGCAGTGTTATACATACAGGTATTTAATATAAAAGATTGCTTTCTACTCTGAACCAAGAAATTCTGTAACGATAATTACATATTTTTGACTGTTGGTTGAATATTTCTAAAAATCTGTTGAAGATTGTTTATATTTTAATCATTAAGGGCAGGATGGCATGTGTTTAGAAAAACACATATTACTAAGATAGTTAATTTTTATTATATTCGTTGATCTTACGATGTAGTATTTTCATCACTTTCTAAATGTTACAGAATATGTAACTTTAATGTGCCTTTAGGACTAATTTCTCTTTGTTATAAATCTAATAATATAATTATGTTAGAAGTGATCTATGATATTTATAAATTATGATAAAATATATCTGTAACTCATGTGACGATGTTTCTCTTTTATCGTACAATCGTACTTTTACTTATGGTTCTACGTATTTGTTTTAAAGAAAAATAGAAATCACCTAATTATTTTCCCTGTTTTATTTTACGTATAATGTTCCTAAATTTAATTAGCCTTATCAGGGAATAAAGTATTTTATGTGACTTTTAAATGCATAACAATTTTATTATATAGATACAATTTATAACCCATTTTTAATTTATATAAGATGAAATAATAAAAAGCTATATACCTATTGGATATAGCTACTGAATGAAGTCCTAAAAGTATAGAATATCTTAATTTGATACTTACTATTTTTTAAATTAAACCCTTTTGTAATAAAGAAATTACAGTGTTACATGAAAGCAATCCTAGTTTTCGTTTGTATATACATTTTTATATTTATTAAAAAATATTTTTAACTATTTTTTTTTTTTGTGGTATTTTAAATATTAAACAAGGTTTATTTTTTCTGTTTATCAAATGAATTTAATAAGTTTAGAGTTATGCAATTTCAAATTCTTCGTTCAACCTTGATAAGTTTCTGAAAAAATAAATATTACGTGTACAAAGAGTTTTATGGTTTCATCAAAAGTAAATGTTCGGACGTACCTATTTTCTATAGCTTCATTTAAATTATATTTATGCATTAACGAAATGACAAGCCTTAACGTCGACCAAATAATATTCGACATCGCTTTCGGTGAGTAATTTTCACCTTGTACTCCGCGGCCAGCTGCTTGCTGATTTAAGGCTATTAAAAGATGTTCACCAGCTTCTCTACATAAAGAAATAGATAATTCTAAAGTGTATAAATACTTTATTACATAGAAATGTTTTACTTACTTATATGCACCAAGCTTAATACAAGAAATTCCAAGATTATAACGAGCTCTAATAAAACCAGGTGATAATTTTAAGGCATGATGGTATGCATTTATAGCTTCTTCTGATTTCTGGCCATTTGCTAAAGTGGCACCTAATCTATTCCACAATCTGGAATCCTTCCAGAAATATTATTTTTAGTAATATATTAAGGCCTAAATAGATATAACGGAAAAATATTTATTTTATACATACATCAGGGCGCACTTGCAATGCTGCTTGGAAACAGTCACAAGCTTTATCATACTCATTAGACAAATTGAAAAGTACTCCTAGCCCACACTGCACGTCCGCATCAATTGCATTCAATGGATTTATACGTGCAGCTTGAATATAAAGATTTTTAACTTCTTCATGCACATCTCTGAAAAAAATCAAATACAATATTACTGAGGATAATTTTGTTATGTATTGTAAATTACTCAATCTGTTGGTTACTCACTCAAATAGAATAGACGATACACTGAATTTCGCATGCCGTTCAGTGTTTGTCTTTTTCACAGAGAGATGTTTATATTTTTCATTTCTTAATAACCATTCTTTAAGGATTATACATGCTTGATTTTGATAGGATTCATTTGTATACGAAACCGCTAGCGCCATAAGGGCAGTACCATTTGCAGGATCTAGGTCTAAACAGCGTTTTAAAGCATAAATAGCTAGTGGATCCTGTTCATTTTCAGCTTGGGTTTTACCAAGAAGCAGCCAAGCTTCTGGATTATTTTCATCCTGCTGCACTGCTGCCTCAAAACAAAGTATCGCACTTGGTAAATCTCCAGCTTCTAATCTTGTTTTGCCCTCTTCTAATGCATTTGGTAAATTTTTCATTGGATTTTCTTCATGAAATTCATAATCTTTGAATGGGTCATAAAAAGTATCATACTCTGAAAGCCATGGGTGTTTTGATGATACTTTTTCAGAAGGTGATATTTTCTCCAATTCATTTTGAATTTTTGAAAATGTCGATTCATAATTGTCTACTTCTAAAATAAAAATGATTATTTAGACATATATTTTGATGAGGATTTGAACCTTTCACGGCCTGGTATCTACTTAGTCGATGCTGTTTGAGGCTTTCGGATGTAAGCCGTGTCTAACAGAAAAATGTTCCCAATATCTTCCCGACATCATCTGATAATGACCATTATGATCAGTACGTCGACGAAATATCTTCCTGTCAGGCACGGCTTACACCCTTAGGAGGTAACACCATTAAAACAAACACTGACCTGAAGAAGTGCTTTCTTTTTGAAATTCATCTATCCAGTTATCAGCAACAACTTGTTCTTTTTCAACCTTATTTGAGACCTCACCTTCTTCAGTATTATTATCAGAAACTTTATCTTCAGATTTTTCATTACTTTTTTCAAATTGTTCTGTCCATTCTTCGCTTGAACCTTGAAAGTCTGGCAGTGATTCTTGATCATTTTCAACTGAAATGTCTCCTTCTTGTTTCATAAATTTCATAAATTTTGAGTATGCAAAGTCAGGATTATCATTATTTTCTATTGGTTGTGTTGCATTCTCTATATTTATATCACTTTGTATGGCATCTATACTGTGTTCTATATATTCCTCAGCCCACTTAGGTCCTAATCCTAACTCATGTTTTTGTTGAACTAAAGTATTTGAATTTTGTTCTGATTCAGGGTTCCAAATATCATCAGCATGATGTTCCTACAACAATGAAAATAACAGAAACTTTATAATACGGTGTTGTAAATACATATATACAATAATAAAGTGAGAATAATTACATTGAAATGACGTCCTGATTCAAGATATTGATTTGCCCAAGCTGTATCTAAAGTAGTTAATTCTTGAGCTACTCCTGGTGCTGCTATAGGTGGATGAATGTTTTGATCAATTTCACGCATTTCTTGTAATAAATTATCCATTCTAAATGTTTGTGGACATGAAGGATGTTCTTCTAAAAATTGTTTAACTAACTGATCTGAATCTGAAGCTTGGAAAGATTCCACAGGCTCAAAAGGATGATGTATTCCTTCTTCTTTGAAGCCATGATCACTTACAAAATGTGATGTAAGACGAATCAAAGAACTAGGTCCTCCACAATCACCCTCAACTAATTCACGAAATGCCATTTTTCTTTTATATTATCAATATTCACCTGTAGTAATACAATAGATCGTGTTAATTTTCATCTATTCTAATTATAATATCTGATAACACAGAATAAAATTAATATCTAAACACCAGAACACAATGGTATCAGTTTCACTTATTTTTAAAGAAACTGAATGTTAAAACATATTTAAGATATAGGATGTTTATTGCGAAAATTTGTTTATATATAGTATTAAAAATTTAATGTCATACATTGACAAAAGTGACTGTAAATCTTATATTCATGAAAAGATAAAGTGTACAAACCTCTTTGCGTTTTTAATATTGCTGTACACTTTCGTAATATCGTTGATGTTACACTAAAATGTGGTTTTGTATCAAGCACAATGTTTGAGAGTGATCATTTCTTTGCTACCAAACAATATCAGTAACTTGCATCAAATAAGTTTCGTCATACGATGGTGGGGCGTACAAAATTACCATAAAAAATGTATAAGTTAATGTTAGAATAAGATGCATATTACAAAGGCATTCTTTATATACAGTTGGCTAGTGAACGTCAAATCATCGACAAGTTGCTGAACTATCTAAAGCCATGAACATCTTTTTTGTAACAGCTAGTACATTTTTTTTTATCAAAAATGTATGTATACCTTCAAATGAGAACCAATACTTTTCTTCTATTATTAAATGAAATCTTTTTAATTACTAAGTTGTTATATAACTCAATGAAGTTACAGCAAGAAATGATTTCTGGATTTTACTCTTTGCATACATTTGAGAATGTAAAAACATTAGTAGTATAAACAATGGAGTACTTTTGAATCATATTCTATGCAGAAAAATGTATTTAGAAAATATGTTACTGAAATAGATACAAAAATATTCTCATATTATTCATAAACTGTTTGTTCAATGTATTTTAATTAAATGTATTTAGAGCTATCTGTAAAAAATTATTAAAAGATAAAATTGGACAAAATTTTCTTGCGAGAAGATGTGCACTAAGGTGTAAGTTCTATCGTAACGCCGCCATACGAGCATTATGAACCAGTGACTGCCAGCAGTGACTACCTGATATAACCTACAGAAAACAGTTGTAGGTGTTCTTTATTTTATTTCTTATATTGTTGAAAAAGCATATACAATATATATCTTGTATTCTGTTATTAAATCAATGAACTGATATATTTGACATATTAAGTAATACAAGTAGAATCGTAGTAATTAATAAAGTAGTCATGAATGATTTTGCAAAGTCTCAGCTTTTAAAATATGGCTGGTCAGAAGGTATGGTTTCAAGTATTACGATACCTATTTATATATCGGTATAAATTACAAATATTACAATGTATTTATATGTATTAAATTATAAATCTATATCTGTATTAATCAAGGTAAAGGTTTGGGTAAACATGAAAATGGTATCACAGAAGCATTAAAACCAAAATTAAAATTTGATACAACAGGAGTAGGACATCAAGTTAACAATTGGAATAATTGGTGGGAAACTGCTTTTAATAAAGCCGCTAATAACATTAAAGTTGATTCACAAGTTCATGATATTTCCATATCTGTTTCAAAAGAAAATACAACCAATAATTTATCAAAAGATTTAAATAAAAAACAGTTTCAATCCCCTATAAATTATGGAAACTTTCTTAAGACTTCTACACTTCTTAATGGTAATCTGATAACAGAAAATAACTCTAATGCATCCAAAGTAGAAGATGTTACTCATGTTTCATTAACTGATGAAGAATTATTTAAAATATGTGGTGGCAGAACTGCTCACAAAGGAGCTAGACATGGTTTAACATTAAATGGTAAGCTAAATCGGATTGCACAGCAAGAGAAAGATTTATTAAACATAAATGCATATAGAAACATGGTAGAAAAGTTGGAGAACAATAATAATAAATCTCAAAGTAATGAGTATGAAATAGATAACAACAATGAAATTACATTATTGCCTCCGCATCTTGTTACTGAAGAATTAATAGTTCCTAATATGTCTAAAACTGCAAGAAGAAATAATAGAAGACGTATAAACAACTTAACTCATCGGTTAAATGTTTTATGTAATGTAAGTGATAACAATGATGAAAAAGGTAAAGAAGTAAAGACAGAAGAAAAAGAAAAGAGTAAAAAATGTAAAAGAAAGAAAAAGAGAAGTTCTGTATCTGATGATATTGAAAGTACAGAAATAGATGGGACAGATAATGTAACTGATGATTTATCTCTTGCTGTGAGTAAAAAGTTAGGAAAAAAGATGAAAAGAAAAATTCAAGAACAAACAAATGATTATCATAGAAATAATTTTAATGATGAGCTTAAGCATAAAAAAAAGAAAAAAAGATCAAAAAAGAAGAATCAAGATTATCAATTTAAATGTATTAGCGATACATGCGAGGATGAAGAAATGGATGGTTTTAAGGCAAAAAAATTGAAGAAATCAGAAAAAAGTTATTCTACTTCACAGTTATTCTACTTCACTGATGAAGACATTAGTACACTAGAATGTAAATTTCATACAAAACTTTCTCGCGATGAAACGTCTGCACAGTCAGATCAAACACGGGATTCAGGTATGTGTGTAAGTGAACGTATCTCGAACTTATCGCATGTATATTTAAAACACAAAGCCAATCAATTAAATGCCCGAATAAAAAAAAGAAAAAAATTAAAATTACTTAAAAAACAAAAAAAGAAATTAAATAAAATAACAGAAAGTTTAAAAGCTGTTCATTTTGATACTAAAGAATCTACAGAAGGAGAAAGTAGTAATAGCAAAGTAGAAGCAATAGTAGAAAACATAATGGCACCTAATATTGCAGTTGATAAAACTGAGCTTTTAAAGAAAAAGAAGAAAAAGCACAATAAATGAGAAGTGGGGAAAAATAGAATTTTGTTATAAAATATTTGCAAGGTCCCGTGTAATTAAAGAATTATTTGTATAAAAATATGTAATAATATTTACAGTAATTGTATATAAATTTGTATACATACAGTGCGCATTTTGTTATGCATGTAAAACACCTTTTATGTATTTATTTTTTAAATATATAATTAATATTTTTGTAGGTATGGTGTTATTAATTAAAACTTTTACTGTAAACTATTATAATTTTTATAGTTTTTTTTCCCTTTTTTAACAAAAGTTAATCGGGAACACACATATATGAATATCAAATTTTTAACATAATTTAAAAATATTAAAGTTTTTTTTCTTTCTTTATAGAATTTATTGGTGGACACAGATCTTTTAACAATTTTATAGACATAATATTTACCTTAAAACTTTTATGTCTATCAATGTTGCATATACTTGCGTATAGCTCGTTTGAAAAGAAATAATCATTAATCTCACTTTAAAAAATACATCTTTCTTAGTATGGAAAACTTAGTTCATGAAAAAATCAAACGACAATCTATACAAGAGTATATACAACGAATGTATAATTAATTACTATTTAGCACCAAATTTCGTAGTAGCATGCTAGTATAATTTTTCCAATATATTTATATAAAATAAAACAAATTTTCTAAGGCCACTAGAATACTCCGTGGAGTTGTTTCGCTGTATAAGTGAACGGACCTCACTCGACAAGCTTAATGAATTACAGTATGTTTCGTACTGTTTAATTGAGCTAATAATTGATTCAAACATTGACTCACTAATTATGTAGATCGTTCTAGGATTATCAAGAAGTGAAATCCATTCTTAGGTTCATGATCATTAAAATATATTATAAATATCATTCAATCGAGTCCAAGTATTTACTAGAAATATGATTATTATTATCATTAGTCTTAATCAATACGTTGTACCGAACTTTTAAATAACAATTCTTTCAGAATTGTGTACAAGTTAAATATTCATGCTGAAAAGATTTCTTTTTATTTAGGCAATAAGTGTAATATAATACACTTATCATGTATTTAGTTCATCATCCTCTACATATCGTTTTACATCCTAGATGATAATGATCATTTGAAAATTTGAATTATACATGATGAGCAATGAATTTAATTTGATATTCTACTTATAACGAATGTTCGTAATACTCCATTATAATAACGGAATGTTAAAATCTTATTTGTCTATTACAGATCTTTTAATTTTTGTAAAAGAATAAAAATAATTCAAAATAAAATGCAAGTAATTAATTATGGAAATATTTACATAAAATTAATATAGAATATAAAGCAGTTTTTATTGACAGTCGAAATTTATCGATCGTTAATCATACCTATTAAAGTTAATCAGATCTCAGAGACAGTATAATACACTAGAGCGAACGTATAATTTACGAGTATGTGTATGTAACCCGTAAGAATTTAACGAGAATGCATGTATCGGTATTATTCAATTCCACAATTTTTCTACGCATAAAACACAGACGAAATCACATTTTCTCCTTCAAACTTCTCCATGTGCCATCGGGTTACAACAGAAATTTGATATGTTAAACTGTCAGGATTATTTAATACCACTTTTAGAGATTCTTATTTATCTTATCTTGATACCAATAATTTTTTAATAAAATTAATATCAAGCAGCGGATGGAATTTAAAGTATCTGACAAATACTATTCTGTTTAGATAACTATCCGACACTTAGCCAGTAATCTTTTATGTATATTAGCAAAGAAATTAATTCGCATAGGAAATCTAATTGACACTGTATCCTTAAACCCTATTGCTGTTCAAATGGGAAAACAGTGTATAAAATTTCATTGAAATATCAACTACAAATATCTCTTGCCATAAAAACAACTGAAGAAGTATTATTAAAGATTGTATAGTAAAGAAAAAAAAAAGAAAGGAAAAATCAGATCATGAATAAGTTAAATCAACAATAATTAGATAGTATACATAAACGTTCTTTACAGTTAAACACATTTGTTAATATTTCTTCTTTTTACTATATAATATCCAACATTCCTACTACTTCGACTTAAAGTAACTGATTGTTTATCAGTGTGAGAATGATTACTGCAAGAGAGATTTGTATCATTTAACTTGTTCCATATTACATACATATTGGAGGCATTAACTTTATGTGCTGTAATAGCATTTTTTAATATAAATGGATCTAATTTTCGTGGAATATAACTGAAGCCAGAATGATTTACAGGTCGTACCTTTGCATGCTTTGCACAAAGTCCTGTAATATAGACATCTTCTAAATGAAGTACTGGCGTTGTTAACGCTGCGCGATACAACTTAAATGCCACGTCTAAACTCATTACGTACCCAGTACCCGATAAATAATTAGGATACATTTTTTCTGAATACATATACTTTGGTGTATACCTAATAAAATATAATAAAGTAAATAATGTCCATATATCTTGTTATGTACATACATATATATTTTATGGTAATAATACTACTTACCATTTATTTTTTGGATCTAAAATAGGTTTAGCATTACAGATCAGAGATCCTAATAATATATTTGTAGCTTGTGTTCTTGATTCCAATGTCTTTACTAATGTAGGAATATTTACAAATATATCATCATCTGTTTTCATGAGATATTTAGCTTGGCCACAATTTGATGTTACCCATTTCAACATCATAACAGACTTTAATGTTAAATTGTTGTATGTGTCATAAAATTTTTCTTGAATAATGTCACTGAATTGATGACTTTCTTCTGCTATTATGTTCTACAAAATAAAAAATTCCATTAATTTTATTACTACAGTTTGTATTTAACAAAACTTTAATTATGCAGGGAAACATACATTAAGTGTATCATTGTCACTTTGTCCAAGAAGAAATGCTACTTTTACTGTTGAATTGTATACATTATCCAAGTTACTTTTATTAGCCCAAGTATTTCTTATGGCTATCCTAGCTTTAAAATTTGTAATAGCTGAACAAATAACAATAAGAAGATATGGTGGTGGAGAACATATACCAGTAGGATTTAACACTGATGTTGTATTTTCTGGATGAATGTATACACAGAGATCTCTTGAAGTATTATATGCCCATCCTGGTAATTGTGCTGTAAATGAATTATTTAGAAATATTTTATCCCATTGCTAAAGTAAAATTGTATTCATAAAATTTCTTCACCTAAATTTTGACTTTATGCATGCTAATAAAAATGTTTATTTTACTTTACTATCATGTAAGCATGTTATAATAAATTGAAGAAAGGAAAATTATATAACTTTACTACTATTTTTTCTACTATTTAAACTTATTTATTTTTACTCTAATTCTAGCATAAATGCTTATGAATTACATGGAAGGATACAATATTAATTTTATTTCTTAATTTATTGAAAACTCTCAATGTATAATATATATCTCTTGTATGAACTATCTATATATCATATTTGTTAAATTAACAAATTCTAAAACATACAAATTTTTAATTGATTGACAATTATTAAAGATAAAAATGAAAGCAAATTTATATGTTAAGAATGGTTAGTTTATAATGCAAGAGTTCAAGCACTGTTAGTGAATGCATACCTACGGAAACTACCAAGTGTGGATCACCAACAGGCTCTGCAGGAGATGGAGTCTTACCTAAGCCTAAAAATGGGCCTTGGGCAGAATGGTATGCTGGTACATATAATAAACCTAATGTAGCTAAAATGACAAATCCTACTGCTAATCTTCGAACAAATGATATTTTTCCTTTAACTGTTCCATTATTATTTATATTGGTAGCTGATGGCAATTCCAATGGCAATAGTCGCAATCTATCCATCTAAGAATAAATAATATACATTTTCTTACATCTTTGAGGTTTCATTAATTAATAGTCTTTGTACAATAATAATATACATATGCATATTTATACACACATATATTTCATTATAACTATTTCAAAATTAAACAAATATTTATTACATTATGAAATGCCTGGATATGTTATATTACAGTTCAATGAGATTTTAAATACATACTTTATGAACTTATACATAGATAACCTTCAACATAAAAGCACCTATTTTGTTTTATAATGTTTAAAACAGATCTATTAATAAAAATAACATTTAAGATTACTATAAATGTAACAGCTGAAAACTGACGCGACAACTTAATTTAATTACAAATGTAACAACAATTCCTCACAGTAAAGATAAATTTTATTAGAAAACATTCGTGTTAGAACAACTTAATTTCTTGGATGTTTCCAAATTAATTTTTTTTTATTAATCATAATATAAAACAGCAGTGTTGTGACATAAAAACTGAAATATAATTGCAATGTTAAATAAATGAGTGTATCATAAACAAGCTTACCTTTGAGATGCGATGATTGCATTACGTGACATTTGACAGTTCTCCATTTACTTTTATCGTAAAATTTACATATACCAAGAAGATAATTGATCATTTATTAAACCATTTTGAAACATTTCATACAATCCTAATAACATGTTTAATTAAACAGTAAAAATTAAAAAAATTTTGCGTTAATTCCTGTGCTTACAAGTAGGTATACTAATACACTTGAATACACTCGAGCCAGCAGGCATTATACCTAATTCACCGAAAAAAACACTTTTGCATTCGAAAAAAAAAAAAAATTTTCCTCAAATAAGTAGTATGTAAATATCCTAAAATTCGCCACCCTCTTATGCCCGTTCCCTCTAACGTGGTTCAAAATTTGTATCGAGTTTAAACTCTGATCAACGACATTTTGTGTTCCATCAATTTTTTAGTATATACCGCAGTTCACCAGAGTCCATAAACTGCGACGCGCAGGTTGGAAGATGGTGGGGGAACGCAGCGAGCTCTCCGCTAATCGCTTTCCACTTCGTTTGGGAGTATCGCCAATCAGGGCGAAGATGCGTACTGGAGCTGCGCGAAGAACGAAAACTGGTCTTTTCGCAGTTATGGACTCTGGTGAACTGCGGTATAGGTTCAAATCAATTAAACGGCGTTCATCGTAAACGCCAATTTTTGGCCGGTTAACGAGTTTGAACGGCGTTTAACACTGATCTGTAGTCACTGCTATGCACCAATCACATCACTTGATACAAATATAGTTTGGGTTAGTACGCATAAGGTATACGTTCAGTTGATCGGAACAAAAGTGGCGTTGATGGAAAGCAAAGTACGTTGACTAAAGATTAAACTGCGTTCAAAATTGAACGCATTAATAATGTTTAAAATGCATGAAATTACGGGAAAATTTTTAAATTTGGAATTGTAATTAATGATAAAAAGCAGCGTATTAATTTGTACACTTGATATTTATATAAAATTCTTTTAAGAATATTTATGACAGTTTAAAAGTTAAAAATATATTTGTATTGAAATTTTGAAGTATATTTCTAACTTTTATATATTCATTTTAGGTACATTTAAACAGCACGTAATATTGTATTTAATACTAAATACATAAATAAGTATAAATATTCTAATATTCTTATTGCATTTTCTATTTAATATTTCGATACTTTCTGAACATTTCATCCTTTGCTTTTGAATATTGTGTTTTATTTTATAGTGATTTTTAAGAGTATGATATGAAGAAAAATATGTATACATGAAAAAATTCAACGATATTTTTGTATACTTTCAGTTTGCAACCAGAGTATTTAGATGAAAACTCATCACAGAAAAGGGCTGATTGTAAAAATTAATTGTACAATAAATAATATTAACATTGTTTAAAAGTAACAGTTATATACACATATACTGTTTTCATAACTTATTGCTGCACTTTCGGGAAATTAAAATTTTTGTAACAGTATTTATAGAACAAATCATACTAATTTCATCGTTAAATAAATATGTAACAATCGTAATATATTATTAACAAATGAGAGGTATATATTAAAAATTACAAATAAAAATATAAAATTAACTGAATTTACAGAAACGACTTTTAAGTATGCGATACTTAGTTTCTGTGACAATTCAATAAACTGTTCAATGGAAATTTCATTGATCTGAGGGATGTGTAATTATTTTTAGTTTTATTACATGAGTCAAATGAAATGGGCAGTTCAATTGAGCAACTCATGGCTCTTTAGAAACTTCAATCAGCTCTTTATGATTAGTTTTACTTGGTCATAATGCTTTCACTTTAAGCTGTTTCATTCTTGGAGCTCGCTTCTTAGCGAGTCTTCGTTGTTCTTTTTCTTCCCACTTTCTTTGCTTATCAGGATCTTCTTCCTGTAGTATACGTTCTTTTTCAGCTCTACGACGCTCTTCTCTTCGCTGAGCAGCTGCTTCAGCTCTAGCAGCATGAGTTGTTTTTAAGAATGCTTCTTCTACTCTAAGTCTATTTTTATCAGTTTTACTTTTACCCTAAACAATACAAAATCAATGTAAAATAACATAGTACAGAAGATCGAAATATATATGCTTATCAAAAAGAAGTTGTATCGAACCTCTTTGGATAATTTGAAACGTCGCAATTTATCTATTAAGTAGAAGGTCAATTGTAAAAGAAGTTTTAATTTTTCTTGGCCTTCCGCATTAGTGGTACGCCCCTTAATGCTTATATTCAACCCAACAAGTAGAACCCTTTTTACTTCAGGCATTGTTAACTGGGTTGTATCCCTAAAATGAAGTAGTAAAACACATTATACGGGGTAATACATAAATGTAATTTACAGTTGGAATGTTTTTATTACTTACTCTTGTTGCTTGGGCCCACTAAATTGATCGCTAATATGTATATAATCTATGTACGGTGCGAATTTTGCAAATGCTTGTAAAACCCTTGTATCTAAAATAGCAGATGCTGCTTCGGCAATTTCAGACATTACGTAAAAGCCTGATGGAAGACCGAATTTTTCTCCTGGTCTCTTTTCTGGGCAATATACACTGATATCAGCCATATCACGTATTAAATGCATCGCAGTTCTCTTTGTGGCTACCGCTAATACAAAATTATCCGTTTCATCTTTTGCTAATTCTACGCGTATATGCGCTTGATCATTTTGAGGTCGCACAAGCTGTGCTAATACCGCGACTAAATCTTGTCTCTTAATTAATTTTAATTCAATTAACATGGAATCACATCCAACTCGCCCTGAACAATATAAACTGTAGTGAGATTGGCTTTCCTTTACCAAGCCATTTTCAGATGTATCTATAATTAAGTCTGCTGTGTCACCAACAAGAGAAAAGTTGTCGAGCAATAGCGGCTTATGCTCTGTGAGCCATATTTTTGCTATGCGAGCATTCTTAGAACGTCCTGCTATGTAATTAATGAAATATACTAATAATCCAATGACCATTAATATTTCTAAGTAAAAACTATCCCATCTGGCACGTAAATGAAGCGGTATTTTTGTGATTGTTAAAGTAGATGGTTCATTATTTTTGGGGCCTGCATTTCCTCCAGCTGCATCTAATCCTTCAAATTCTTCTTCATCTTGAAAATGATCAAATTCACTGTCCCCATCGACAATCAAAACATCTTCCTCTTCAAAATCTTCATTATTGTTTGATTCTTTAAGATCATTGATTGTATGAGATGGTTTTTCATCCTCAAAATCTTCAAATTCTGCAAATTCATTGTCTTCAGGAAGTTCTTCATGAAAATGTGCAGTGACCCATATATTTGTTGCAACTAAAATGATGTGAACTACTACTAACCACAACTTCATTTTGTCTGGAACAAAGAGGTTAATATAAAAACTATAAAAAATTAATATAGTATTGTGTTTGTAAATAATATAATTTGAGTACTATATTCTTTAATAATAATTTTCGAAATAAAATTTCTTAATAAGACATGGATTAATTAGTCTTTTTTATTATTGAAGTTTTAAATGTAAAAATCCTCTGTTTACTTATTTAATGAATAAACTAACTTTATAGAGAATTTATATTATATTCTTCCAATTTCTCGACATTGATTTCAGTTATTAATTAGACGCAATAATTTCCTTAATAAATAATACTGTCACAGCACCCTTTGGAGTAGGTGACTTGCACGCTATGAAATTAAGGACGGAACCTAACGTCATTTCCGTAATAAAAAATTCACTGTTAAAAATAGGAAACTATAATTTCTGTAATTTATTTTAAATTCAAAGTATACAATTTCCTATTTAAATATTTAAATTTAAAATTGTAATTGATAAAAGGCATCGAATTAATTTGTATACCTATTAAAAAAAGTAAATTCTTAAAATGATTAAACTCATTGAGACTTGTAAACATATTATCAAATTAATAAAGTTTATTGATAGAAAGCAGGATCATTTTTCATGAAATAAATACAACTAAATTAAAAAGAGAATCTGTCGATAAGGTAAATTCCTCTTCGGGAATATTCATAGGTTGGTTTCACTATGATCGTCTGGAATATACTTCATGGTTATTAGGGTAGAGATCGATTCAGTAAGTCCGTGGTAACGAGTGAGGGAACTTCAGTGCGCATGTTTACTGTACTGGCTTTTCGCTGTCAAAATATGATGCAGTCATTCTTGCATTCTATCATAATGTGTCGTGTACTGTCGTAGTGATTCTCTTAAGCATTAGGTTCTAATTAACGTGCAGGCTGGTAACAACTCTTCAATTAAAAGCAATCAAACAAGTGGACATAAAAAGTGCGCGTGTTGACAGTGAAAATCGTACAAACAATGGATCAATACCTTGCGGTGGAGGGTAACATGCGAATACGACAAAAAATCATCATTCCTTTATTGTAACGCTTATCGTGTAGTACACGTTAATTGTTTGAGAGCTCGAAAAGGTAAATGTGTCTCCAGAAAAAATTAGTCTCCGATACATAGAGCGTGTCGTGTAATGTTTGGTTAAAGCGGCCTTTCGTTTTTTCTTTTGGAAAAATTGACAGAGCTTATACTCGAAAAGTGTTTCAAACGAAAACTTGAGCATCATTTGTGTTAACTATAATAGTATATGTTGAATTTTAATCATTGATTTCTTTGAATATTTGAATTATTAAAAGACCAATACGATGTCCTCAAACACTGTTTCTCATCGTTATTGTTCTTTTGAAAAGTGACAGAACTATGTTTCGATCAATTCATAAGCATGTATTAAATTCTATACAATCCAATCTATGGCACATCCTACACATAAAAAGTCACTCAAGTTCAAGCAGTTACGTCAACCGGCATCTCGTTACTTCTCCATTAAGGACAGTACTTACAACATACATACATACTACATATGTACTGCTTTAAAGAAGTATTCAACTATTCAAAAAGCGCATTGTTATTCTTTCATTTCTTTATTAATTTAAGATGTCATTTTCTTTATTACCGTTACGTTTCTATCGATTCACAAGTTTACAAAGGACGGATTATTGATTTTGCGAAGCAGTTGTGCGTGTTCAGTCCATAATGTTGAGGCTCATCGTTGTGTTTCTCTCGTTGCATAGGTAAGAACCGATCGTCGACATGGATAAAGCTGACAACCAACTGAAAACCTGGAAAAAGAAAAGCATGAAGACGTGTAGTTTGACGGACGTGGTGACCCAGTGCGTCCAGGTGGTCGTGCGATGTAGACCGATGGACGAGAAGGAGGTGAGTCGTGGGTATACACGTGTGGTCGACGTGTTTCCATCGAGGGGAGTGGTCGAGATCCGTCATCCGCGGGACGATCCATCCAGCGATAACGTGAAAGTATTTACGTTCGACGCGGTTTACGACTGGAATTCCAGTCAACAGGACCTTTACGAAGAGACGGTCAGGCCATTGGTGTCCTCCGTTCTCGACGGCTTCAATGGCACTATTTTCGCGTACGGTCAGACCGGCACTGGGAAAACGTACACCATGGAGGGTTTGAAAAGCGACCACGAGAGGCGCGGCGTGATTCCGCGCTCGTTCGAGCATATATTCAACCACATAGGCAGGTCTGAGAATATGCAGTATTTGGTACGGGCCAGTTACCTTGAGATCTACCAAGAAGAGATACGCGATCTTTTGCACCCTGATCAGAGTCTAAGATTCGAATTAAAAGAGAAACCAGACACCGGTGTGTTTGTCAAGGATTTGTCGACGTCAGTTTGCAAAAGTGCCGCGGAGATTCAACAACTGATGAATACCGGCAACCAGAACAGGACGATAGGCGCAACGAATATGAACGAGCACAGCTCTCGGTCGCACGCGATATTTCTAATCACCATTGAAATGGGATCCATCGGCGATTCTGGTGGAATCAGGGTCGGTCGTTTGAACCTGGTCGATCTCGCGGGTAGCGAAAGGCAGAGCAAAACCGGCTCTTCTGGCGAGAGGCTCAAGGAAGCGAGTAAGATTAACTTAAGTTTATCGGCACTGGGCAACGTGATCTCGGCGTTAGTAGATGGGAAGACAACGCATGTGCCCTACAGGGACTCGAAACTGACGCGATTATTGCAGGATTCTTTGGGCGGTAACTCTAAGACCATCATGGTTGCTAATATCGGTCCAGCTAGTTACAATTACGATGAAACTCTGACGACCCTACGGTACGCTAATCGTGCTAAGAACATCAAGAATAAGCCGAGAATAAACGAAGATCCAAAGGATGCATTGTTGAGGCAGTATCAAGAAGAAATAGGCCGATTGAAGGAGAAGTTGGCGCAAAAGGGTACGGTACCAAGGAAAAAGAAGAGGTCAAAGAGGAAAAAAGAAGACGAAACCGGGGATTCAGAGTCTGAAACGGAAGACAGTCGCGGCGAGGATAATAATAAGATAGAGACAGACAAGAAACTTATAGCAGAGCAGTTAAAGGCTGAGAAGCAAGAAACTGAAAATCTTATAATGAGAATAAAAGACCTTGAAAGTAAAATGCTGTGCGGTGGAAAGAACATCATAGATCATACAAATGAACAGCAAAGGGCATTAGAACAGAAAGCAGCTGAGATAGCTGAACGAAAGAAGCGGGAAGTTGAAATGCAACAGAAACTTGAAGATGAAGAACTCACCATGCTAGGAGTTAAAGAAACCTACACAAACCTGCAACAGGAAGTTGATGTAAAATCCAGGAAACTGAGGAAATGTTTCACCAAATTACAGGTCCTTAAACAAGAACTTGAAGACGTAACTAACGATTTTAACAGGGACAGAAGAGATCTAGAGCAGACTCAGCACGAATTAATGAAGGAATTGAAACTTAAGTATCTTATAATAGAGAATTTTATTCCCGAAGAGGAGAAGAATAAAATCTTGTCGAGGATTCATCTGGACGAAGAAGAAGACTGCTGGATAGTCAAAGACCCAGAGCCATCCAGCATAGAATTTATAAAAAGACCTACATCGGTTGCCGGGGCACGAAGACCAGTTTCAGAATACGCGCGAATCGCCCTGGCCATGGGAAAGGGCTGTCGCTATGCGGGTGAGAATATATTAAATCTAGACCTGGACATGCCAGCGAGAACAACGCTAGATTATCAGGGACCCGTTATCGCGCCTACGATCCAGGCTGTCCTAGAAGAAGCGCTGCGCGACGAGGGAGATATAGATGTAGACGCGTCGAGTGCAAAACTTAGGTCTAAGTCACGTTTACAATCCGCGAAAATAAGACCTAAGAGCGTCGGAAAGATCCCGCAGATACCAGCGCCTGTTTATCCAAAGACGAGGGGTCTCGTGCCCAAATAGGAGATTCGAATACGCGTCTGTAAAGAACCATGTAAATAATGTAAGAACTACGACGACGTCAGCTTTGTTCAATTAATTTATATAGTTGTGATACGCCTCATGGTACTACGTGTATCAAAAATAGCCCAAGTCTTGATGATTCTCTCTAGTCAGTGTGCACCATGCATAATGTGTCGATTATTGTATTAATAAAAAAAAAAATGAAACGTCCTACGAATTAAGATTCCTACTTATTCTCTGAAGACTGGCATGTTTGCGTAGCTTTTAGTACTTGATAAAAGAGAAAATTAGGCGGTCCTTTTTGTTCTTCTTTTTATGCATATATTTAGATATATACTTATTGTTAATTTTATTAGTGCTAATTAACGAGTATTTTAACCCTTGAACAGTGGAATTTAGAATATGAAAATGATATAGGATACAAGATTAAATTAAGATCGAGGCTTTCCCATGGTCCGCCGTCCGAGGGTTGAGGAAACATGTTCCCTGATTGATACGCTTATAAAATTACTCTAATGCCCTTTTTTACAACTATGTTTTGTTTTATTGAAAAATTACACATAATTGTTTTTTTTTTCTTTTGCTATCGTGTATATGTGCATATACACGTATACATAATATATATATATATATATATATTTTTTTTTTTTTGTTAAACATTAAAAGTGCTTGTAAAAATAACATCGTTACTTTCGACTTCTTTAATACGTTATCACACGCATCTGAAACTGTTAAATTAGAAAGATGATAAACATATTATAGATGAATAAAAATTTAATTGAAATTAGTCTTACATCGATTGTAATCCAGAGCAAAGATGTTCCTTCGTTTCGATGTTCTTTTCTTATTTCTTTACTTACTTTCTTCCCGTTGACATTCAAATACACTCCGTTGTTACAAATCCATGTTCACTTAATTTTTCAACAAACTTTCAGTCTCGTCAAGAATGCGAGACCACTCGCGAATCATGAACGCATAAAAAGAAAGAATGATTTATCATGCATGAACGCGTATGAACGTGAAATCCGTCAGGAAGTTATGTGACAATGAAAATAAGCGTATTTCCAATTCTTTTTTCTTCATTTCCCATAGAAGTGATCAGGATGTCTTGTGACGGATATAACTAATAAAAATTCAGTATAACTATGTATAACGGATTGCAAGAAGTATTTACAATTGAGCGATCCTGATCATTTCTAAGCAATTCAGATTTTTGAACAAGTAACACTTTCACCAGACACTACCAGTGCCTATGGAGAAACTAATTCCAAACAGTTTCACAACTACGTAAAAGTTTGACATGCTCTTCCAAATGATTCTCAAGTTCAATGTCAGTTCAATAAAAACGTTGTTGTTGCTGCGGCACGTAATTCCCATACTGTTGCGGTGGTTGCTGTGGAGGGTAACCCGAAGAATGACTCGCGGGACCAGGATACGAGGATCCATCGTAATTCTGTTGAGCAGGATACTGATTCGATGCCATGGACGGTCCACTGTACTGACCCTGACTGCCTAGACCACCGTAACCTTGGTAATTATAACCATTGTCCATGTAACTTTGATTACCACTGTACATTTGCTGCGGATAACCTTGGAACTGTTGGTTGGGCATGTTTGGATAACTTAAGGGAGGTCCCTGTGGACGGGCCATAGGTGGCTGATTAGTCTGAACGTAACCTTGATTATAAAAATTCGATAGTGGAGCTGTTGATGTATTAGACATTGCAGCATCTAATGGTTTTGATACAGTTTCAGTATTTTCACCTGTTAACGATTTTGGGACATATTTGTTGGGAAGATCGCCCATTATGTTAGCTATTAACCGTTTGGTCTCATTTAAGATGGCGTTCGGGTCGTTAGTCTTTGTCAGTTCTTTCGACCTTACCGGAGAACGTGACCTTGAACGTGAACGCGAACGCCACGACGTCGGTGAATTCGACAGGGATTTTGAAAATCCTCGGGACTTGGACTTTGCCTTTTCATTTTCACTAACATTTTTATCTGCAGCTTTGTATATATCTTCAAAAGTATAATCATCATCGTCGTCCGATAAATCTAATTTAGTTTTCTGTTTGTCCTCACTCTCGTTCTTTGTCTGCTGCTCTTCGTCATCGTCATTCGCGAACATATCAATTTTAGGTTTCCATTTATTTTCTACCTCAATTGGGTTCTGATTTCCTTTGTTTAACGAGAAAGGAGACACACTTTTGTTGGACTTAATATTAGTCTCAATGTTTTCCGGCGTTGGAGATTTTAGTTTTGGCGCAGATGTCACTATCGACGTCGTGCCCAAGTTAACGAACGTTCTTAACTTCTCTACTCGAACCGGGTCGGTCGCTTCTAATTTTTTCAAGAAATTTATTAATCCATGCTGTTCTTGAGTGCTTAGGTCTTTGAAATTCTGCAAAAGGGACTTCAATTCAGCATCAGACATACTCTCCATCCTGGAAGTCTGACGTTCAACAGTGTCTGTCGCCGTGGACGTGGCCGCTGCAGATGTTGTACTTTGAGGAAGGGAGTTATTACCACTTGCTAAACCTTTCACAAAATCTGCAGTAGTGACCGGCTTATCGGAATTCTTTGAAGCCTCAGCCATTCCAACGACAGCATTGATAAGAGTTTCTAATTCTTCTTGGGACACGTTTGACCTACCCTGTGCCACCAGAGCGGCTGCTATTTGCTGAGCAATAGCTACCTTATCTACAGTGCCAACACCAGGAACGCTAACTGGTTCAGACTTAATTGCAGGCGTAATAATTTCCACAGATCTAGGATAAATAGTTCTCGGTATGTAACTAGCCGATCTGGCAGCTTCTAATTCTCTTTTCTTCTTTTTCTCTTCTTCCATCTTTTTTTTACTCTCTGCTGCTTTGTGCAATAACTGTGCAATATTTTGTATCGCAGTCTTCGTCGGAGTTATAGCCATCTTTTCTATCATTCCCGCGAATAGCTGACCTTTCAGCTTTTCTTTCACCGTTTCGAACAGTACACTTACCTCTTCGTCGTACAATAATTCCTCGGCAGAATTAGGCTTCGCCTTTTCTGCAGCTAGTGCTCTCGAAAGAAGAGATACTATCTTGGGACCAAGAGAGCCTAGCTGACCTTCTAATGCTGTAAGTAATCGTAACAAACCAACCACTTCTAAATCTTCAGTTAACACCTCATCCGGTATAGGACTCGGAGATTTATCTTTCACTGGATACGGAGTCGCATAATGTATAGGCCTACGAGGCGGAACTCCTCGGGGATAGTAACTATTCCTGTACACGCTTCCTCTGCCGCGCATGTACGAAGAATACGCGTAATCCCGTTCCCTTACCTCATGGCGGTCATAATAATCACTTTTAATAGTTTTCGTACCAACATACTCCACTTCGTCGTCGCTGTCCACGCGATGACGACTTCTTTTTGGAGACCGGTCGCGTCTGCTTGGGATCCATTTCTCCGGTGGTTTGTCCTCCGGAAGTTCCAATCGCTTCCTAATCTCCTCTTTGCGCTGCTGTAGCTGCTCATTATGGATCTCTCGCATTCTTTTATTCCAGAATTCGATCCACTCTGGTTTGAAGTCGTGTTTACTGGGATCTTTACCTTCAGCTTGCAACTCTTTATACCGTCTGTTCCAGAATTTCTTCCATTCGTCAGGGTACGATGGATGCTTCTCTGGGTTCTTTTCGTGAAACTTTAACGCACGATCGAGGGTCTCTTCGGCACGTCTGATCTGTTCCCGGTACTTATCCCATTTATCCCGTTCCCTGAGCGGTTCCGGGGACCGGGAGCGCGAACGTGTACGCGAACGTGTTCGATCTCGCGAATATCGTGATTTGCTGCTACGATACTTGCTGCTACCTTTGTCTAGCGAACTGTCTTTACGATTACGAATCGGTGAACGTGACCTCGAACGCGATGGCGACGGCGAACTAGATATGCTCGAAAGCGACGAGAGGGATTTAGTCTCGTCGGAGGGACGTTTAGGAGATTTTTTCACGTTATCTTCGTCTTTATCTAACGGTTTACGCATATTTAACTTATCCCTCGTAAGGATACGAATCTTGAAACCCCTAAAAAAAAAAAATAAAACATGGATTCACAATCTGAATTCAAGTGATTTATTGAGAAAGGAATAGATGGGATTGTACCGCATGTATTTTCAAACATCACAAAGTAAACGAATATCTATGTATTTAAAAAATATTAAAACTTGTATTGTATGTAATATTAACTTACGATTTTGTGGTGGTTGGTTTAGTCTCAGTTTTCTTCGGTGATGATTTCTCACTTTTCTTCTCTTCACTTTTGTGCTTATCTTCTACCTTCTCATCGGCAGATTGAGAATCTTGATACAAGATTATTGAAAGATTGAATATTTAAGAAAGAAATATCTTACTTATGTTGGAAATATAAATTATACTCACCTTTCTTTGAACCACTATTACCCGTTATTTCAGCCATCTTCTCTTCAAAGTTTGTTACCCATCGCACATCGTAAACATCCATAAACGTTAATTCTGGCGTTTCCCTGCACGTAGGAAACAGCCATTCATTTTGTGGTAATGCAAATTAAATTATCATTACATTATTACCGCGCACTTCGCCGAATCACGTCCAGGGGACTTTTCGTAAAACACCCGAACTGAGATATTTAATTCGTTCAATCGAAAAAGACGTACAGGATGATCCCCTTGCTATGCTACATAAACGTGCTTCTTTTGTCTAACGTAGCAAGAAGATCAACCTGTATGGATAAAGAACGTAATATTATGACTTACCTAAAATGGTAATCCTGATAGACCCTCTTGATATATTGCATTTTATTCTTTTCGTATTGGTTTTTATCAACCAATTGAGGCTGTAATCTTCCAAATCGTTCTTCGATCTTCTTAGCCACTAACACCGATATTTCATTAGCTCCACGTTTATAATTAAGAGTACGCGGTAATTCCATAATAGCTCGCGATATTGTTGGAAAATGTCTATTTAGATAAGTTATTCTGTGATTGTAACTGGTAATATGGGCCATAACAGTACGAGGATCGCCTCGTTTATCACACAAAACACATGTATAACTGGGTTCACAAGAATCATTATCAACCAATTCTAGAAGGTATTCGAGACCAACTAGTGGAGAACTTCTGTGTCGATCCAGACTCATCTGAATCGTAGTTGTTCTAGTTATTTGGTCTTCCATGCCAGGTGGTACTGGTTCTCCAGGTGCTAGACTATCGCTAATCGCAGCCGATTGCACCGGTGGAGCTGCTTTTGGAATATCTGTTCGTTTGGACCATAATAAAACTGGATACGGCCATTCATCTAATTTCATTTTATGACGATTACACATATTATGATTTAATAATTTATGAGCTCCAAACAGAGCAATATTACATATATGACACCATATATCACCATCTTCTGTTTCAGAATACACTGGCCTGAGCGTGCCATCTTCAGCCGTGACACTACTCCTCATTAAACGTTTTCGATCATATTCTTCCTGTGAAATACAAATATCTTGTAAAATGGACAGGTAACTGTCATTCCAAGTGTATATCACAGAATGTAAAAATTTTGCATCAAAAATACATTTTTAATAATGCACAGATCAAAATAAATACGTAAATATTGTATCTTCAAAATTTGGTAAATATGACGGTATATTTCCAAGTTTTTGAGTTTTAAAAATTATTTCAGATTTCTTTTAAATATTAAACGTAAGTACAATCTAGTATACAATTTTTGCTATGCATTTACCTTATCTTGATCATCTTCGGTTAAATGAGAGGGGTTACGACCCTCTATATCAAGATCATCAAAGTTTTGCATGACTACGCCAGGTTAATGAAAAATTCTCACCACGATTTCTGAAAACACAAAAAAGCTATGATGTACAAGAAAGAGTATGATGTATGGCAAATAATGATAATATTAATAAAAGAAAATAATCGTAATATATAAAGTCAATATTACGAAAAAACAATTTTAAACTAACAAACTATCACATACCTAATTTGTTAAAATAAAATTCTAATTTTTACAATGATAAATTATTAATGATCAATAATATCCATATTGATTATATTGCAAACCAACCCTGCAGCAGCAGTTATCAAATTGTTCATCATTAATTAATATAATAAAGCTACAAATTTTAATAAACTATACTTACCCCCACAAAGCTGTACATATTATATTTAAACAATTTATGTACACACATAACATTATTTAAATGTGAAGTTTCCATAAATATTGTAATTTAACATATAGCTAAAATCTGATCATAAATTTATATTTAATACAAGACATAATAGATGTTGTAAAATATTGCTGAACAGATAGTTTCAGCAACAAAGAATACAACATCATTGACCTTTTAAATGTGTTTTAAACAATTTATGTCTATGTACTTACACCTCTGAAAAATTTAACAGATTAGATATATTCCTAATAAGATCAATGAACATTTAATCTTTGCTGTTTAACACAAAAACTAATGTATACAAATAATCAATGTTTTGCTGGATTATAAGAGTGAATCTCCAGCTACTTACCGATGAACATAAAACCTCATATTTTCAATAATGTTTCCAGGATGCACAATAGCACAAAACATTAAATAGAGTGTATCATATAAAGACACTAATATCACGCAAAGTTAAGAACTAGAATAACTTTGCGACTTAAAAGAGAAAAAAATATAGCTGCTTATGTCAAAATGAAATTGTGTTGTATTTAATACTGACACAGCTAAAGAGGGTAATACTGTCAAATTGATTGCAACAGGAGAATGAATGAGACATAAACAATATGTGTCTTTTATTAAGCAGTGCTTGCTTAAACAAATGATGTTGCTAATAACATAACAAAATTACGGAACGAACCTGTAATACACGCAACCAAAGGGTTATCGGATTGATTATAATTGCAATAACGTAAATATTACATTGGTTTCACTCGTGTTGCTAATTTTTAGCAACCAAGATTATAGACGAATGGCGATTTCTTGACTTTAAGTTAACCCTTCATTTTCTATCAATAGTTTTTATTTTTTGTCGCCATTGAATCGTAACCTCCGAAATGCTCCGAAAGTAAAAATGAAAGGTGTACAGAAAGGTGGAAAAATGAGTAGTAGGTTTCACTTACCACGTTACCAATACACGACAATCACATTCACCAGTACTTCCTGGGTGAGCTTTTAATTCATTAATTTTTTTCCTGAGAAATCCTTTCGGCGGCCATATCGAAAAAGAAATACGGGATGAATGCAAATCTGCGCATGGCTGGCCTGCATATACAGTGACTACAGATGACTACAGAGCAGTGAAGCCAGAATCGTGGAACGTGGGACTACATACATACAAAGGCAAAAGACAGGGAAATGCCTTTGTTTTCGAGGGGGTATGATTTAGGGGGACTCCGCCATCTATGTAATAACGGCGGAAACTACTCAGCAATTTACCGGCTGCAAGATGGTCTATCGATAAGCCGGCAATTTACCGACTGTAGGATGGTTGATCGATAAGCCGACAATGTACCGGATGTCGGGTAAGTTGTCGAATAGTTTAGGCCGTTACTGTATAGATGGCGCTGGGATCAATATTCAGAGATACGTGTTTAATGACGATCTTTTTAAAATACAAGTTTGTCAAACTTGTTTAACAACAAGCAAAGAAAATAAATAAAGTAAATTAAATAAACTCCGGAAAGAAATTAGTATACCGCCACGTACATGAAGCTAGCCGGATGGAATAATAAAATATGATTATTTTTAATTTTCCTTAGTGTATTTTGTTTGTAAATCAATTGTGATTGATTGTGAGTCTATTTTTAACGTTTGTGACAAATTAGTTCTTTTGTAATTAGCAATTTTATTTCAATCATGATGTGAGCCGAAAGTTTTTAGTAATTTTTCATAATACACAGATTTTGTGATAACTGATAACTGTAATTGATTGGAAATCGTCTGTGAATCACAAATATATCATTTTCATTGTATTCATTGTTTCTTAATTATTTACAAGTTCGTTTTATAATAAATAATTGTAGTGCGCATGCGTTACAGATCCGGTCGTACCCATCACTACATCGAACAAGCGAGTTTCACCATTTGTTCGTTTTTAGGTCTTATATTTCGCTAGATCCGATCGTACCTATCACTATCATGAACAAGGGAGTTTCACGATTTGTTCGTTTTTCGTTCTTATATTTCGCTAGATTCGGTCAAACCCATCACTATCCCGAACAAGTAAGTTTCACGATTTGTTTGTTTTTCGTTCTTATATTTCGCTAGATTCGGTCAAACCCATCACTATCCCGAACAAGTGAGTTTCACGATTTGTTCGTTTTTCGTTCTTATATTTCGCTAGATTCGGTCAAACCCATCACTATTCCGAACAAGTGAGTTTCACGATTTGTTCGTTTTTCGTTCTTATATTTCGCTACTTGCTTTGGGGTCCTTGAAACCCCGGTGATTTAAATTGTGTGCAGCATTACCGGTACCTTGGGGTTCCTGGTACCCCGGATGCCAAAATGTCGGTATGGAAACGGTGTTACAGGGGCATTGGGGTTCCTGACACCCCAATATGATATCATGTCGGTGTGCAGAGATAGTTATTGGCGCTTTGGGGTCCTTGACACCCCGGTGATTTAAAATTGTGTGCAGCATTACCGGTACCTTGGGGTTCCTGGTACCCCGGATGCCAAAATGTCGGTATGGAAACGGTGTTACAGGGGCATTGGGGTTTCTGACACCCCAATATGATATCATGTCGGTGTGCAGAGATAGTTATTGGCGCTTTGGGGTCCTTGACACCCCGGTGATTTAAAATTGTATGCAGCATTACCGGTACCTTGGGGTTCCTGGTACCCCGGATGCCAAAATGTCGGTATGGAAACGGTGTTACAGGGGCATTGGGGTTCCTGACACCCCAATATGATATCATGTCGGTATGCAGAGATAGTTATTGGTGCTTTGGGGTCCCTGGTACCCCGGATGCCAAAATGTCGGTATGGAAACGGTGTTACAGGTGCATTGGGGTTCCTGACACCCCAATATGATATCATGTCGGTATAAAGAGATAGTTGATGGTGCTTCGGGGTCCCTGGTACCCCGGGTGCTATATTATTGGTATGTAAAGATATCCACCGGCGTTTGGGGGTTCTTAATACCCCAAAATGTTATCAGGTCCGTATGAAGAGGGCACAACCAGTATAATTTTTTTCCAGAGTTTATTTAATTTACTTCATTTATTTCTTTTTGTTTATTAAATAAGCTCATCGAAGGGGAATAACATTTATGATTATATCCCTCTTCTGGGTCTCAACCGAGGACCCTATTTATTTTACTTTTTCCAGTTATTTATATAATTTTATCCCACATTATAGGCCAAGGCCATCTTAGTATCCCTTACATCCCTGCATTCCTTACATTCTTACTTAATTCGTACTTAAGTACCCTTTTTTTTTTTTTTTTTTTTTTAACGTGGTGGAAATCTTCAGAAAGACACCTTCAGCCCCCCTGGGGAGGGGCCGGAGGTAGTGTGGGATTTTTACCCACTAAAACCACCACGGTGGCCTGCACTAGGGCGGTAGGGAGGGTCCTTTGACCCTTCGCCATGTGCCAAACACCGCCGACATCGGGGGCCACACCCGATGCCGGCACTCCTCTGGCAGCGTGCAGTGGAGACCGTGGCCCCAGCCCTCGTTTCGTTACATCTCTGCATCCCTTACACCCCTACATTCTTTTCATCCCTACCTTCCTAACATCTCTTCATCCCTTAAAACCCTACATTATTATCACTCCTCCATTCTTTTCATCCCTACACTCTTTTCATCCCTACATTCCTTTTATCCCTACATTCCTTACATCTCTTCATCCCTTACATCCCTACATTCTTTTTATCCCTACATTCTATTCATGCCAAGTTTCCTTACACCTCTGCATTCCTTATAATAAATATATTACAAAGACTGCTTCGAGTAAAGGTAAGTAAAGGTAAGTAAATTTCGCGAAAATTTGAAAAAACAGCGCCCCCTAGCGGCAAAAATGTGAACTAAAATTTCGATGTCGAATCAGCGCCATCTGGTTTCGGAAAAAGGAACTAAACCAAGCACCATTTTTGGCCCTCTGGCGGCAAAAATGTGAACTAAAATTTCGATGTTGAATCAGCGCCATCTGGTTTTGGAAAAAGGAACTAAACCAGGCACCATTTTTGGCCCTCTGGCGGCAAAAATGTGAACTAAAATTTCGATGTCGAATCAGCGCCATCTGGTTTTGGAAAAAGGAACTAAACCAGGCACCATTTTTGGCCCTCTGGCGGCAAAAATGTGAACTAAAATTTCGATGTCGAATCAGCGCCATCTGGTTTGAAAAAGGAACTAAACCTTGCTCAATTTCTGGCCCTCTGGCGGCAAAAATGTGAACTAAAATGTCAAGATTGAACCAGCGCCATCTGGTGGCGAAAAAAGGAACTAAATTTGTATAAAATCACAGACCTTATAGCCGCAAAAATTTCAGGGAGGTACTGGGATGTATGGAATGCAGGAATATAAGTGATGCAAGGATGTAAAGGATACAGGCATGTAAGGGATGCAAGGATGTAAGGGATGTTGGGATATAAAGAAGGCAGGAATGTAAGGAATGCAGAGATGTAAGGGATGTAGAGATGTGAGGAATGCAGGGATGTAAGGGATGCAGAGATGTAAAGGATGAAGAGATGTAAGGAATGTAGGGATGAAAAGAATGTAGGGATGTAAGGGATGAAGAGATGAAAAGAATGCAGAGATGTAAAGAACGAAGACATGTAAGGAGTGTCGGAATGTAAGGGATAAAGAGATGTAAGGAATGTAGGAATGATTATTATTCCTTCCGGCTAGGTTCATGCAGCTCTGCGCGCCGACCTAAAATCATCTTGTGGTGTTAGGGACCCCCAGTACGGGTGGTACTATGTATACCGACATTATGGCCGTAGATCATAATGAGATAAGTTTATTGGCTCAGGGGAAATCTGACTGACTGAGTTCAATTCGCGTATACACGATGCGACAAATTGGAATTAAAATTACAGAAAAGACAAAGTGAAATTCTTGAATTTGTATTAATAAAACTTTATTTAATATCGATATACATTGGGCTTTAAGTGTTACATGCACACATATTTATTTATTTATTTATTTAATTATTTATAATTAATTATTTACAAGGGTCACATTTTCGCATAATTAATTAAAATAGAATTATTACAATAAACTATAAAGTGAATCAAACAACAATAAATCGGACATTAAGCATCCGTGGTTCTTTCCTCGCGAAATTGCGTGCACGAGGTGGCGAGTTCGATGGCAAGTTCTCCATTACGATTGAGCTGACTACTTACATTTCGCGCACGTTCCTCGTGGATGCTTTTCTATACACACATAATGGTAGTCGTTTTTACCTTTGTCAGGTATGGCACTTGACGCTTTCATTCATTCGCGTTCGTTGAACGCGTGTAAATATTTTTCTAAATCAAACGCATGTTCAGTTTTCCGAGTGACGCCTGAAAAATTCGTGTTTCTCTCTAGATGGTACTTACAATTAAGGCGACTTCTGGTCCTTTTGATGGATCTTCTGGATCCTCAGATCGTGTAATAGATATCGGAAGTCGTTGAAAACCTAACCTTGAATGACCTGCTTTTTTATTCTAGGCCATTATCATTACATTTAAAATGATATTACTAGATAATTGTCTAATCATCACATAGTGTTAGTTCGTTGGATAAATGCAAACGCTGATAGGTCATACGTCTCAACGATTCCTCGACCATCTCACGATCATTGAAATTCGATATTTTGTCCAAAAATAACGATATCATTTTTTAAATAAATGGTTAAAGCGATTAGAAGTCATTGTCCCATCCTGATACATCGTCAGGAGGTGGTGGGTCGGAATCTGGAGGATACTCGTCGAAGTTCGCTGTGTCAGTAGCATTTTGGACTCGTGGCATGATTGGGGGTTCTAGAGTCCTCGCTCTTAGACCTTCCCAGTTGAAGCCATCGAACCATCTATGCAAATGAAAATAAATATTAATAAAATACTTATTTATTTTAATTTAAATATGTGGTTTATGTATTTAAGGCGCATACTTATGCTTTTGTATTTCGCTAATTCCGCCTTTTTGGTAACCAAGACGTTCTGCTGCATTGTCCCTTAAAATAAAATAAATAAATAAATAAATAAATAAAATATTATTTTTACTGGGGCGATTATATGGAAACTAAATATTTTCGTCTAGATTATCAATTATTTGTCTTATTAGAAATTTCAATTATTTATAAACTAAAAGTGATTAATCTTTTAATTTTATTATTACCTGCAGAGTTTTTTTATTAACGCGGTTGCATTTCGCGTGATGGATCTTGGGAATTCAATGGCGTCAATTCCTTTTAGAATAATATTGTAAGTTTTCATTGGATCACCTCCAGTGAAGGGTGGCGTCCCCGTCAAAAGTTCAAACATAAGAACACCTAGAGACCAATAATCAGCGCTAATATCGTGTCCTTTATTTAAAATAATTTCCGGTGCAACGTATTCCGGTGTTCCACAGAAAGTCCATGTTTTTCTTCCATGATCCAAACGTTTGGCAAAACCGAAATCGACTAACTTAACGTATCTGAAAAAACATATCAGTGTTCAATGTTAAATCTACTTGATTTCTCTTCTTTTTAAATTAATTCAAACAATGAACAGAAGAAAATAGGCGTAGCCTTACATTAACGAATTATAATTAGAAAACAAAGAATAATAATAATGTATGGAACATGCTAAACTACAATAATACTTTTGCAATTGCTGAATCTCATGAAAAGAGATACTTACACAACTGTATTTTAAGAAGCATACCAAACAAATGTGTTAGCATGTTGATTTAAAATATAGTATTAATAAGATACGATGTATGTACACGTAAGTATAATAAGTGAATTCATTCATTATTAGTTTAAATCCATTAAGAATTCTCTTACCCTTGGCTATCCAATAACAGATTTTCCGGTTTGAGATCCCTATAAATGATGTTCCTTGAATGAAGATAATCGAATGCTTCTACAACACAGGCGGTATAAAATCTCGTCGTGCTATCATCAAAATGTCCTTTGTCCCTGAGGACGGTCCATAATTCGCCACCAAGGCAAGCTTCCATCAGCATGTAGAGATACTTCCGGTCTTTGAAGGTCTTGAACAGTTTCACGATGAAGTCACAATCAGCCTCGCCCATGATTCTCTTTTCAGACATGATATGCTGTTGCTGTCGCGTTTCTACAATCTGAGCCTTCTTCATCTGTTTAAGGGCGAAGGATCTCGAGTTGTCACTCGCTATTTGAACTAATTCGACTCTTCCGAACCCACCCACGCCTAGGGTGGCCAGAGGTCGAAGATCTTGCAGCCTTAAGTCTCTAAATTCCTCGTTCAACCTGTGTTAAGAAATTATTTCAAGAGTGAATTTTGGAAGTTTAAAATTTTTTGGGAATCTTAGGATATTACATTCTTATTGTTAGTCAAAATTTTCCATATCTCAAACTCCATCATTTGATATTCAACAACTTCGCGTAATAATGCAAGGAAGGAAAGTATTTTCTTATTCATATTAAAGCATTTATCCTCTCAGAAAAAGCAACACGTTAACCTAAGTGCCGAATCATCATCGCAGTGTAAGTACCGTAACACGAGACTTACTCTGAGACAGCATATACGCTCTATTCTCCCATCCTAGTGGTAAGCGTGAAACATAACACACATGAGGATTTAATAAACGATTCGTGCACGGTTACGGTCGCGTATAATTAACGTTGATGAGAGTTAACGTGGTTATTAGTAATCACGCTGTTACCAGCGCAACAGAATTATCATTTTTCGAATTAAAGCAGTCGCTCACCTTCGACGCTCGACGAGTTCGTCTTTGTATCTCGTACGAATTTCGTCCAGGGATGAGATTAATTGATTGAAAGTTTCACGGTCTATCACCAGGCAACTCACTCCTTCAGGATCGTCGGCGATTATATTGGCCGTCCTCAGATCATCTCTGCAAAAATAATTTAATTATGCTGCTTGTTCATCAAATTTTATTTTATTTTATTTCCTATCTAAGTGTCATAAGTAAAATTCTATTGCATGCCTGGAATATATTTTGAAATATAAATATTTTCCCTATTAGCAGTAAAAAGGTTGAAGTAAACTGTGGATTATTATTAAATTAAATGATAGTTGATGAAATCTTACCCTTGGAGTGCTTTTTCACCAAAGAAGTCACCTTTTCCTAACGTCCTGATATACTTTTCTTCGGGAGTATCGGGTTGCTTTATCGTCACGCGGACTTGTCCTCTGCTGATTATGAAAAATGTGTCTCCTCTTGCTCCTTGTCTGATTATATAATCGCCATTGTTGTAGAAAGTCTATAAAATCATTTACACGTACCATTCTTGTCCGTATCATTAAATAAAAATAAAGGAAAAATAGATCAGGTTTTAAAAAGGAATACAAACAGGGGATCATTTTATTATCTTTCCCTTTAATGTTAAATTATTAGAATCTGAAAATTTACCTCTTCCAGAACGTCAGAAATTTTTATCAGAGTCTCTTCGGGTAAATTTTTGAAGATTGGAACGCTGAAACAAAAAATTTATAATCATTGTAATATTTATGGAATTTTATTATTTTTTTTTTAATTGAAGAAAGATTTGCAGCGACAAAAGTTTATTTATTCTGACACAGTTCAATTGAGATTTATTCGTTTTGATCATGATTAATGGGTTTCGTTTCATCGTGCTCCACGAAGAAGGCGTAAGAAAATAGGAATTGTTAACGAGAAGCTGGCAGAGCCATTCATTTCCTCTATTATTTATACAGCTGGCATTTTCAGCAAGCACAAACTATCTGTCAGTTTAATCGTTGGTTCATTGTTTTCACTGGGTACTATTTCTCTCTTGTTGTTCCCTTATTAAAGACATAATTAAATTTCATTTAGATTGATCAAATTAAAAAATGTAATATCGAAATTTGAAGTGTACCTAATTTAAAAAAAAGGAAGAAATTATTTCCATTTATTCCATGCAGTTGTATGTTGAAAATATTCAACTGCTATTAACTGCTATTGAAAAAAAAGAAAAATCTTTTTACCTCTTCAAGAAGTCCGTGTACTCGGCCTGCCTCGAGAGGCCAGTCCTCATCATAATTGTTTGGAAGCATTGCCGGTCGATGGCCCATAGTTGGCAATCGGTAGCAGCTGTTATCGTTGCTGTTCTTTTGCAGTTATAGAGAATTGCTAGCTCGCCTAATACCTTTCCCGGTGCCAGAGTACTCAAATATTTGTCATCGCGCGATACCTCCACTTTACCCTCTGCAAATATAATTTAGCAATTATTATAGTAGTAACGGTAGTGCTGGAATCATGAACGATCAAACACATTAAAATGAATGAAATTCTTTTTCTTTATTTACATCAGTAATACTTTGAAAGATAATGATACGAAAATCTGCATTAAAGTTAGCACTTTGGAAACGTGGAGGCTGAGATCGTCGTCACGAGGGTAAAGACCGTTCACATACTCGACCATTTCATAATTTATATGAATATTAACCTGTTTCCTATTTCTTGTTAAACTTGTTTCTTATTATACATATAGATATGCGTCAAGAACGTATTTTTCTATTGAAGGACCACTGACATTTCGACTGTAACCAATTAGGTCGATACGGTTCTATCTAATGTCGTGAACAGTTTTAACTGTGGCGTGACATTTATCAGATCTTTATGGAAAGGTTACTCCAGACGATAGGATTTTTCTTCTTTTATTATGTATGTAAGCTCATAACACAAAGCTCTTACTTACTTTTTTAAAATATTTCTGAATACCTACTTCTAAATTAGAAACAGATTTTTTAATCACGTATCAGTACTTGGGTTGTACTTCATGTACTTACATCTAAGCAACTGCTAGATATATCTTAGGCTCAAAAAAGAAAGAAAAAGGAAAGACGTTTAATTAGCATATGCAAGTGAAAAAGTAAAATCTTGTAAATTTCGCAAAAGGCAAGGGGCAGATTGTAAATCTACGAGCGCAAGGCCCTAGCTATTGTGCGTAATGCAATAGTGTAACGCAATACGCTAATACTTGAATAAGAACTTATTCATTTACATGAGTTGCTCCACGGTATCTTGTAATCAAGGTTCTCCCCTTTATTGCTAATTTGCAATGCGACTCGCAATCTCATCTAAATTTAAATCGAAATATCGCTCGCGGCCGAACGCGATGCTAACTTTAGCTGCATGCTAAATAAACAGCTGTATTCCTGTTTATCTTTACAAACGATATGAAAATTTCTTGAATTTCACAAAATCATGCAATTTCAATTTACAGCTAACTGTACATACCTACATGAAAATATACAACTGAAAATAATGGATTCCAGTAAAATTTGACTGAAATTGAAAGTGATGGCAGGGCAATGGAACCTTGTCCTTTGTAACGTTTCTCGCAATAGTTACATACTTATAACTTTCTCCAAAAAATTTTTATCCAATTTTTATTTAACTTTCATCTAGGCTTGAACGTTTAACCTTCAGGTGCATACGGGCTTTCGTTTTCTCCGTTACTGCTTGCTTCATTGTGGGAACCAACTTGAAGCGGAAACAGAAAGTCTTCATAGCTACCAACATTCTGCTAACGTTAATTTATTTGAAGAAAATAAATGTGTCTGACCCCTTGGAGAAGTGTTCAAGATTTAGGTGGGGTAGATTAGGTAGGGTACCATTTTCTTCCTTACCGCCTATCTCTAATATGACCCAAATTTATTCCAACAGAGAATTTATTAGTTCTTCGGCAGAAAAATGATAGAATGCTAGCCATGTTGAAGAATCGCATCGGTTTGAAACCGGTTCGTAAAGTCTCTTTTGTACGACTTGTTCTTGACAGGATACGTAGTACATAAGTATACGCGAGGAAGTGAAAGCAACACGTTCACGGGACAATACAACCGTGGACTATTCCCTTCTCTTACGATTAATCCTCTACTAAAATATCCACGTACTAACGAATCATCGATATTCAAGCGGGAAAAATAGGAACATGGTATTTCATCTTACGATCTTGAACCAATTTCAGGTTTCAAAAGGTTTTGATAGACCCGGGGATCCAGAAATCTTAATCCGTTCCCTACCTTCAGGGGGTAGTAGCTGAAGTAATTCTGAACAACTTTTTCCTTTACCAAAATGCACGTTAAGACTTAGTTTTTCTATTATTAAAATGTGGGATATTTATTATTATGTCTGAATGCAACTTGTTATTTCGATAATAGCTACATACATTAAGCAAGGAACTATAAATTGCAAAGTAATTTTCACCGGAACTTTCTATGACACAGGGATCCATACCCGAGCGTAGAAAGTGCAGGGAGAGTAAGTACACTCGCGATCAAATCAGGCTTTCCCAAGAAACACGGTGATGCCCCGTCTAAGGGTTAATATTTACTTTGTTTTTCGCCAAAATAAAGATTCTGAGAATTCCTCTTTCCCCTATGGAAACCTGATTTGATCGTAAGTGTACATCGAAGAAAATCTAAGAATCGATTAACAAACGGATACGTTGTTCGTGAAATGATTCCGAGAAACAATATTGTCACATCGATGTGACAATACTGTCTCTGTAAATGAAATCAACTTCATCGCGCTCGTTAAATGAACGTTTCGTTTCCGGGAATAGCTGGCTGGGGCAGAAATAACTTTAGATAGGAAGGATAACTGTTAAATGAAAGCGATTAGCCAATCGTGACTACTATAAATATTCAGCACCAGTCGTAAAGATTGTTTAGTTCGATATGCTTTAAATGGCATATACGTGCATACGTTAGAAGCAATGATAATTTCAATAAAATAAATGTTTTAACAAATATTTTACAGAAATTATCATGAAAAGTTCCATTTCCTTCATACGCAAAAAGAATATAGAAATTGCATAATATACGTACTCTAGGTCTGAAATTGTTTACTAGAGTGGTAACAGTGACATATAAATAGTCTAATGAGTCTAATCGAAAGAACGTGGGCGAAATCAAGTACAATGCACGACGTTAACGGTAAGCGAACAGAAAACTGCACAGGTACCGGATGCTTTTATGAATAGGCCCATTGTATTACAAGGGATTGGGTCTGAGATAACTGCACACGTTTGTTGTATCCGGTCCACATACACTTCACTGTACGAAAAAAGAAATGTTGATTACTACACGAAGAAGGCGATCCTTGCATCACGATACAATCACGGTGCAATTTATTGTTAAACTGTTGATAACTTTTGGAAACTATTCGCGGTAATTAAAAATTGTTCAGTAGTAGAAAAATAAATAATTCTGAAAACTTCCAAATTTCTAAGTTTCAAAATTCTCTAAATGGCACTATGACATACTACAGTTTTGTTTACAATATTATAAATAATATACGACTATCCTACCCATTGTCTCCCATTGTTTTATAATGTCATAGATCCCTATCAATTCAAAGGAAAAGTCCCATTCAACCTACTCTAATTTACAAACATTAAAAAGAAAGAAGAGAATTCAAACGAGAAACACGAGATTGTTTTAATCAATTTAGGTTGCAAATAAAGGAAGTCTATAATTAGAAACGTTGGATACTTACTAGCAGTTTAAATTATTAATAACGAATTAATAATATTAATGTTAATGACGTATTTTTAATTGAAGAATTAAAATAGCCAAGAAATTCTTAGCTCGAACCTTGTTTTTCCACTATTGCACAGCGAAAATATTTTTCGTAAGTAAGTATATTTATTCTAATTTGCTCGCATTCGTAATTATACGCATATCATAGCATCCACACATACCGTAAAAAGTCACGATTTAAATGCTTTTTACCATTCTAATTAACCATGCACTTTAACCAACGAAACAAGAGCATAACTTTCTATTGAAATTATGCAAGACACCGTGTAATTACAGGCCGGAATAAAGAGTCTGTTTATATATTCGAAGTGGAAAGGTAATGTCCATGCTACGTTGATTTAAGAGTATTTTGAAAATTTTTAATAATAATGATAATGGTTTGTGTCAAGTTCCAAGTATTTTAATTTACCATAAGTAAATGTTAAAGAATTTTTATGTTTCCCAGTGACTCAGTTATATTTGCAATAAATTGTCAAAAGGTTAATAAAAGAGTCATCAAAATTAAATTAAATGATAACGTAAGATTTGTATTTCTTCAGGTAGCTATTGCATCAATAGTTAATTTACTTTTTTAACTGTTTTAATCAGCAGTTTAGGTTTATAACGAATCGTGGAGCACATTTACTGATTTCTATTGTGAAATTCAACGTTAAACCAGCTATGACAATTTGTCCTTTGAAATTTCACAATGCTTAATAGCTCTGTTGGACATAGAAATAATTTCTCCTACAATATTACGAATAAACCGATTGTGTAAGAAACGAAGCTATGTTTATTGCGTATTGTAATTCTAAGTGAACAATAATTAGGAATGAAGTAATGTTTTGGAAATTTTTGAGATTTTGTAGGTTTTCAATATTTTCTAAACGATTAGTTCGACATCCTTCCCCTTAAACTTCCTAGGGGTAATAAAGAATCAGTTGACGATGTATACTTTTCCTCGGTAATGACCAAGTTCTTTGACGAAAGAACGGAAGTATGTATGAAGCGGAGCGATTTCAAAGCGTACACCATGTGTACAGCGTGCAAGTGGGACCGGCTAGCATGACGACATAACAGGACAAAGAGTTTACGCCTCGCATACGATACCCCATGAGAGGTTTTATACTCTAGAACTCCGTAACTGAACTCCCGCTTACTTGGTTTAGCGGTCTGTTATCGTTGACCCAGCTTGGTGACGATCCCATTTCTTCATGCAATAGGAACATGACAATCTAGTCGTTTCGATAGAAAAACGTATAGTAAGTTTAAAAGCGAGTAGTAGGAGGACCTTTTCTCTCTAGAACTGCAATTTCTCTAGGATAGCCTACCATGCTCGATACTGTACGATAGTTTTATCGTTAATCACTCGAACCACCTCCTGCGAACCACCTTGATTAGCGAGTCTCGCGAAAGCGGATGGTTAAGTTCTTTTTCTTTCGTTCTTCTTTCCGTTTATCTCTAGGCGTTAGGACGCGATGTACCAGCTTGAACTGGGTCAACATATCCGTTTTTTTAACTACACCCAACGCCATTGGCGGTCGAGCAGGCTGGATATATGTATATGTATAATAGTTGAACGCGCTTTTCAAGGGTATGAGATGTTTTTCCCGTCTCGTTTGTTACGGTTAGCCGTCCGGCGAGTTTGCTAGGCTGTTTTTAAACAGCTTTAGTAGGTTA